CCCTGTTAACTATACAAAAAAAGAACCACCTTTTCTTCCAGTTGCTTAAAAAAATATATCTTAAACAAATGGAAGTTTTGAAACGTGCCCGATCTTAAGGTGTTGCAGAGCCGCCAAAGGATCATCTGGCTCCATGCCCGGCCCAAGGGAGCGATCAGCTTACCCCTGGTTTTGGGCGTATTTAATTTGCCCCCCCCAATTCACTCCAGAAAGTTGGTGCTCAAACCAATCCAATCCAATCCAATCCAATCAAGTCCTCAAGTCAAAAGCCCTAGTAAAAAAAAGAAGAGAGGCGCCGCCACAGCTCTCCCGCCTTGTCGTCGGTGTTCAGGGCAATCTCCATGGCATTGTTAATGGCCTGCCGAGCTCGCAAGCTCCACCGGTGCTTTTGAGGAAGACTCGAGCAGCCTTGAATCAATGAAGCTGCGACAGAAAAAGTGCGAGGGGTGGACTCCAAAAGAGTGGCCCGGCTTCAAAGAAGAAATTCCGGGGAAGGACTTGGCTCCATCTCTGACCCTCCAGATTTCTGGTGGTTCCCCTTGCGGCGGGTGGATTTCTTGAGACTCCCGAGTCAAGAACCATTCTGATCACATGGACATCGACCAAAAAGTTGCAAACTGGTTCAGTCTCAAAACGGGGAACTCCTTTTTGGATGCTTTTGAAGGGAAACCACGCCACGAAGTGGCACTCATCTTCCAGAGACACCCAACTGCTGGGGTCGCTTTCCAGGCTGAACCTAGCTCTTCACCAAACGCCTGGAACATGTTCATCTGCTTGCGGGCGCCCGTCGCCAAGCATCTGCCTGCCAAAGGAAACCGATTTGGCGATTTGAAGGCACGAGCAATGAATCAAGCGACTTTGGGTTGGTTTAAAAGGAAGACCCAACAGAAAAACCGAGATCCATTTGGGCGAAATGGATTCACCCGCAGTCTAACCGGTCGCACCTGTTTGTCTTGGTTGTCTTCATCGGATCAGTTGTTCAGCGTGGCTCAAGCGAGTGTACTGCCGCGCAACGTGGGAACTCCGGATCCAAAATATCCCTTGGAGCAACCCAGCAAATGCGAAAATTCACATTGGGCACCCCATTTCCCCTTTTTGGCCACACGTTGCGCCGGTTTTTTTTTCAGCCGTCAAAATGATTCGGCCCAGTTCCACACGATAAGTTGCGGCTGGGCAGATGCGGTCAAGATATGCGGCGAGGGCTCATGTCAACCAGTCGACAGACAAGTGGACAGCCAAATCTGGGCTGTCCTCAGATCGCCTTTTTTTTTGTGGGTTGAATGGAAATTTCCACTAAACCAACTCAAAAACCAAAAACCTCAGGAGACAGCTGGGAACCTTGAAGACAGCATATTGTTTGACCTGTGCCGATCGTATTGAACTGCCAATCGGCCCATTCCAAGCCTTTCTTGTGACTCACTTGAACAAATCTGGCACCTGGCACCTTTGACCAATTAACGTCAACCGCGGTGTGGTTGGGCGGTTCCTAGAAGACTGCTTGCCAACAAGCGAAAACCGAACGGTCATGTCAAGTCGAGTCGCATTGGGCAAGCAATAGCCTGCTTGGAAATTGCAAAATTGAAAGCCCTAGACGCAACATGGCTTCTCTTCCTTTTTGGTTGCAAATTCATCGCCTTCAGGCGCACGCTGCCGCGCTTGCAAGTGCGGTCTTTTTCTGCAATCCGCGGGCGAGAAGGCTCACTGCGTTACCATGCCCGGTCCACTGCATTAGCAGCGTGCAACTATTGGAGATTTTAGAAACACGGCAAATGGCAGGCCAAGTTGAAATCAGGGAGTTCAGGAAATGCCGTGATTCAATTTTGTCGACCTTGCTCATGTTGCAACAGGATTGTCCGGTCATAAAGCATCGTGTGCTTTCCCACGAAGACACTGCACTGAAGCAAAATGTCCCAATGCCTTTTGAGCCATACCCTCGATCGGATATGAAAGAACCCCCTGAGCCGGTTTCTACACCTGTAAGGCCAACCTTCCACACGAACAAGGATTGTCATAGACTTGGGGAGCGGCGGTCGAGATGTTTCACCTGCAAAGTAGAACCTGTAGCCGAAAAGCAGATCTGTGTTAACGCGTTAATGCACTGGCAACGAGTACAAAGGGATACAACAGCGGGCCCCGGACCAGGTTTCTTGCTCTAGGGCTATTATTTGTTTCACACTCATCTTTGCTTGGCAATTGTTCGCAACACACCTCTCGGAAGGATAATTCGTGTTTAAAGCCTCCCAAATGGTAACTTACCATTGGGGGGGTCACGGGAAAAAAATCCTGGGGTGTTCCGGCTCCAGGTTGCTTCTTGATTTGTTGGTTCTTTTTTTCACCGGCAAAGACGCGCTCTCGTCCTCGGCCAAATCTCACTGCCTGGAAAAATGTTCAGCCTACAGCGCAGCGGCATGTGGGTTACAGGCATCCACCTGAAATATTCGACCTAACCGGCCGGCTCAGCCGGCCCCGCGAAGCTTGACTCACGAGTAAGGAGACCAAAGGCCGGAGAACCAGGGCACGCTTTCCCGGAACCGGAAGGGTGTGTCTTTTTGTCTGAGGCTGCCCCCTTGTTCGGTTCTGTTTTCCGGGAAACCAAAAAAAAACACCACCAATGTGTGCGGGCATACGTGCCGGTAAACGCCGTGACACACCCAGAAACCAAACCAAAGAAGAATTCCCAACAGACGAAAAACACAAGCGAGCTCCGCGGGCGCCATTCTCGAAGGCAAGAGTTAATCATTGCGGACGTGTGCACATCAGACGAAGTCCATTCAGCATATGGGTGGCTCGTTTTTTTGGGATTTGGACCCCCCAAACCGTGTTCTGTTGGCTTTCTCCTTCAAACCCACAAAAAAGAGGTACCCTCCAAACATGTCAATTCTGAATATCGGCGTCTGCCCGCGACAAACGTCGACACAAAGGCAAGGTCGGTGCCAAAGCTTATGGACTTTTGGTGGCAAGGGCTTCTGTCATTTGTTCGGACTGAAACTAGTCCCACCCAGTACATATGGGGTGGGCCCAGGCTTCGCAATGTCGCTGCTCAATGTTGGTAGGCAAACCCGCTATTCAGACGTTCCAAAAGCTTTCCAACAGCTTTCCAAAAGCTTTCCAAAAGCTTTCCAAAAGCTTGCCAAGATGCGCACAAGTCCCGCCCGGGCCCGGCCGAGCATTGCCAACTCATGGGCGAAAATATTCATCGTTCCTGTCATAAAACGCCTCTTGCGGGCGGTCATTGGCCTTGTCTGGCAGTGTCTGCGGTGACGTTCACCTCGAGCGGCAGTGGGCCAAAAGAAGTGAGCCAGGAAGATCCCGCGAAGCTCAAAGGCCAACAAATGAGTCAAGTCTTGGATCCATGAATCGATTGTGGACCCCATGAAGCCAAGCATTGGCGGCTGTTTCCCAATGGATCAGCTTGGCAGCAGGTGTGTTCCCAACCCTTGGTGCGCCAAGAAACATGTGCAACAAGTTGCAACAGCTGCTAGCAAAATACCCCGAAGCAAACCAAACCCAAGACCAACACATCAAACGGGGTACCGTTGTGCGACAAGGTCACCGGACTAGAATAAATATCACATCCGCCTGACAGCTTCGTATCAAAATGAGCTCGTAGAATGCAAACAGCTTCATCTGCTCACTCGCCCAAAGGACCTGGAATAAACGGTCCTTTTGGAAGCTTGACTCAAAAAGGATGCGAAAACCAGAGGTCAGATCCTCCTTCTGTTTTGAGCAACTGATCTGGGCAAACTACTTTTCTTCCCCTGAAGTAAGGGAACCTTCCAGTACAGGACTTTCATTATGGATGAGATCATTTGACTTTTGACCCCTGAGCTCGTTCCAATTTGTCCAAAAAAGGAGGTCTGTCGTCAAAAACAATGAACGAGTCGCGGTCGAGCACGCCTGCAACTTACGAAAAGGATTTCAAAGAGTGCAGGACACACCAAAACCCCCCCGCCCAAACACACCCCGTTTGGGGGAGCAAAGTAGGCCAAAACTGAAGCGAAGGGTCGGGGGTCAGAGAAATTCCTGTTCTTCAGGGCCACCCTTGGGCTGCTGTGCATACCCCTCTCCAGACAAAGGGTGTTCACTATTTTGTAGGTAACCCATGGGTTCATAGAGACAGCACATGTGATCCTGCCTCGATTGGTCAAACACATGGGCGTGCAAAATCGTCCAAAAACGGGGCAAGCCCTGGTGTGCCCAACATGGAAACACTCAAGGAATCCCATTCGCGAAAGGGATAAAAAGGGCACCAAATCTGGAGGTGAGTCATAGAGAGACACTCAGAAAGAATCCGGATCCCTTTTTTGGGGAGCCACTTTAGGTTCTGTTAACCGTGCAGTCCGGCGGGTTCGACGTTCACCCGCATCCATCCCCCTTTCTTCATCTGCGCTTCCAAAAACCATTCGCTGTTGTCTCCTGTTGGGGAACGTTCCATCTGTACAAGAAGGCTGGTTAGCATGGTGTCAACCCCGGATTAAATCCGTGGTAAAAATTATTTGGGTGATTCTCCCCAAGTGATACGAGTCCCCTCTTATGGGACACCCCACCAAAATCAGGTTCTGCTAGGTTCGGGCTTCCGACCGAAATCCAGCCAGCCACCCACCCACCTACCCCACCCCACCCCCTTCCCATCCCATCCCAGAAAGCAAAGCGGTCCTTTGGGTTGTCTCAAAATAAGGGACCCCCACAATGGGTGGTTTTCTGTTGGCTTCCTTTTCGCCCCAAATTGAATACCGAGCCTCAAAAACCGATTTCAACCATTTGCTTGAGTCCCCAGGACAAAATATTAAATATGCCAAGATTCTGTCTCTTCAAAATTCAACAGGAAAACAAGCAAATGGGAAGCATTTCAACCTATATGGGATTCCATATGAGCTGTGGGTCAAAACCAATGGTACTATTTTGGGGTTTTCGGTGAATTCACCACCCATTTTAGAACCTATTTTAGTGGTTGGTGGTTGGATGTTCACGGGTAGGATTTGGCTTTTGGTTTTGGCACCTCAGAGGCCCGCCAGGAAGAAAGCGCCCTCGTAGGGCGCCAGCCGCAGAGGTTCCTGCAGCGTGCCGTCCCCGTGCAGCACCACCTCCCGGGGCACGGGCGGGGTCTCGGTACACCTGTTTTTTGGCTGGCTTTAAAGGGAAACGGAAAGGAACACCCAACAATTTTTGGGGTCTGTCTTTTGGGTGTCGCTTTTTTAGGAATTGGACCCCCAAAATGATGGGCTTCCGTTTGGTTTCCCTTTGAAACCAGAAAAAGAAGGGGTACCGAGCCTCAGAAAAGACACACCCATGTAGGGACCGTTTGGTGGACATCATTTCGGGGGATTCGTGTCCACCACCACTTTTCATTCATGTCCACCAATCGTTTTTGCCAATTAAAAATAGAAAGAGCTAAAGATTGATGGTTTGTGGGAGGTGGTTTTAAAAGGAAACCAAAGGAACACCACCCTTACAAACGGGATCCCTGAAAAGACAAACCCCTGTGCCTATGGTTGGAACCCCTGAATTGGACGTCAATGACGGCATGGTCATATTTCTGGCTCTCGTAGAAGGCGGGCATAGACAAAATCACGAGTCCCTGGTGGCTGAAACTTGCTGAGTCCTCCCAAATGGACCTCTCGCGCAAACCGATCAAGCCAACTTCGCGCTGGGACATGGGCATCCGGAAAACTGAGCCGGTGAAAACGTCCTTTGTTGAAACTGGCGGGGGGGGGGGACTCCCACTGGATTTTATCTCGAAGGAAAACCGACAAAGAACCGAATGAATGGGCATGTGTCACGACAGGACGTGTTTTGGACACCGGATGCAACCATGAAATCCAGCATTCAAAGGAGACTTGGGGGGCGGGGCTTGTTTTGGTAGGGTTAGGCCAGATGAACCGTTGATCTTTTGCCCCATCGCCCGTTCTGGCCGTACCTTCTGGTCGCCGGTGGCAATGGTGCGATCGCTCGCTCCTGGCTGAAACCGACGGCAAGCAGGGTGTGTCTAGAAAAACTCAACCAACGTGCTTGGCTTCCCCACGGGCTTCCTCGCAAAAAAAGACAAAACAGACACAAATCTGCCGACCCCTCGCCCAAGAGGGGAGGCGTACGGGAAGGGTCATCATAAAAGATCTTTGCTTTTTTATGGTCTTTTCTTATTCTGTTCTTGTATTCTTATATTCCTATATAAACACGCCAAACGGGCTTCCCCACCTGTGGCTGTGTGAACGAGGCATCCCGGTCCCACACCCCCAAATGGCTTGTGGTTTAGACTCATGGTGAAACCTCTTGATAGGCGGGCAAGACTCACCCAAAGGCAATAATTTGGTCTAGGCAAACTAGAATCATTCGTAGGTCGTGGTTGAATTCCCGAAACAAAATTGTGTTGTCGTGTGAAATATGGAAAGCAGGTTCTGTGTGTTCGACAGACATGCACATTGAGTGAATGCATCAACACAACCCTCGAAGCCCGGCTGCGTGATCGGACCAGGACATCATCCAATCCCAAAATCAACATCCCCCCCGGGTACAAAGGAATGAAACATGACTTTCTGGTCACCTTCATCACATGGATACACTCTGCGACAACCTGGGCCAAATTGCAAGTGTCCCAACTGGCAGGCGATCCAGAGAAGCAACCTTCGTCATGGAGCTCGTTTTGGTTACCCCCACCTGCCAGCTCATCGCGACCTAGTGGCCTTACAAAGCCAGCCCATCCAGCTAGAACCTTGGGTCCACATTCGATTTCCAGAACCCCAATCACTTTGGCAAACTGCAGGAACGAAAACAATTCATGGCATCTTTCATGCGGCCCGTAAATATTGCGCTATCTACTCCTGCTTTACAAACAAGTAAGAGCGTAAGCGTTTTAGAGGGTACAAGAACCAGGACTCCAAACTCGCAGGCCAATCCAAACCACTAAGTAAGAGCGTAAGGTGTTCATTGATAGCCAATGAAGCCTTAACCCCTCGATGCAGCGAGTCGAATCTGATCGAATCGGCAGTTGGACAGGCCTTCTTGCTGCAGGCAGTTGGAGCCCGAGAATTCCACTGGGCCTCACGGCTGCGAGTGTGTCAGGAGCTACAGCAATCCCCGCAAACTTGGCAAACTTGCAACAAAGAGATCTGCGCGTAGGGGTGACTCCCCGGAGCCATCTGTCCTTCCGATGCGGGCAACCCTCTGAATCGGGATTGCAAGCCAACCAAACCAGTGGGGGGCATGTGCCAATAATCTCCTCCCCCAATTAATGAATGACCCCCATTAATAATAAATGCAAATCCGGGGCCCGAGACCAGATTTCCACTCCGCACAATTGATTTTTAATTGCGCCAATACTAAACCAATACTAAAGTCTTGGAATCCTTATTAGGGGGCACTTTTTAACAAGCTTCCAGCCCCACTTTTAAGCTGCGACTGTCTCTCCCCCATACATGCTGGCTAACCTGCCTGGCTGCCAACAAACAACCAGTAAACTGAACAACAAATAGAATGATACATGAAAATTCCTTATTAAACCGCTTACTCGCGGACCTTACAATTCAATCCATTTCCTCCAAATCCTATGCGAACCCTCACATTGTTGGAAAAGAAAAAAAAAAACCAACCCCGAAAACCCCAATTTAAAAAAAAAAAAAACTATTTTTGGGAGGATTTATTTATAATAGGGAGGGGGGGGGCCGTATTTATTAATAGGGGGAAGAGACCCATTGAAACCTCCGAATGAGATGACTGCTCGCATCTTTGAATCTTTGGCCTTTTCTGACTCCATGCTTTCGAAACCAAACTCCGCAAAGCGACGCCTTCCAAATTCTGCGAACATTCGATCGACTTCGACCGCCTGCGGGGTGCGGATTTAGGACACAAAAGCCCAGCAGGGCGCCCCCGTCGATCTCCTTGCCATCGGGGCCGCCTGCGGGCAGACGGCGAGACCGGGGCACTCGGGAACTCCGGCGCTTGCGGGTCAAGGAACCCCCACTCTTGGTGGAAAATGCGGCGGCCGGCCGGGGTTCAACCCGTTTGACCCATCCTTCTTTTCAAGAAGGCCGCTTTTTCCCCTTTGAGTCTTGAAGTGCTTTTCTGGAGTTTTTGTTCCGCATCCCAATAATGATCAAGTCCCACGGTCGATCTTAAGTCTCTGGAGGCCCTCCCTCGAGGGCTTCGCCTGCTTCCACGCGGCAGGCGATGCAAATGCTCAAAGGCCGCCCGCCATCCTCCGCCTCTCTCACCCTGGCACAGAGGGGCTGCTACTTTTGTAGGGAGACAACCTCGGGGGTGTTTCAAGGGGGATTTGGGCATCGTCCTTTTGGTAAAAATAGATGGGATTCCCTGGTAAATGGCTCATAAAACCAATGGACACCCATGGGGTTCGCAGCTTTTGGATTCTCAAAGCTCAAAGAGAGGCAGTGATGTTGGTTCATTCGCACCTCCAGTGGATTTTCATGGGAAGAGAGGCATCCTTTTGCGGTCGCCGATTTTGAAGGGAAACCGAGCACTTAGTTTTGCGCCTACACTGAGGCATCAAAACAAGCGTTGGTAGTTGATTTGGGCATGGCAGGTACCATGTGGAAACGGCTACATACTCCTCCTTGCAAATTGACACAAAGCAAACTCATTTTGTATAGGAATCTCGAGTCAAGGACCCCCTTTTTGGGTTCCATGAGTGCCTTTTGGTCAGGGTACTCCATTTGGTTGGTTTAAAATGAATACCAAGAAGGAAAATTACTGTTTTAGGGCTCCGCTAAAAAAAGGCGCGCCCATGTTTCTGCGCGAGATTAATTCCCTACCCCCCCTGCGGGGTAACTTCACTTGAGAACACATAGGTCTATTTTGTTTGAGGCTCCGTACCTCTTTCTTTCGTGGTGTTTCAATCAAAACGAAAAGGTTAAAACTACCACTTTGGAGAGAAAGGCTGGCCAAAGAGCGGAGTAAAATGTGTGGGATCCTCATGTGGGATCCTCTTCCCGAACCCGAGTGGTGTCCCTTTGGCCCTTTGGAGAGGCGCCACTCGCGGAGTCACACCTTGGTGCTCATCTCAAGGTCATTTGGTGGTCTTTTTGGTGTCCCTTCCCTTTGCATCCTCTAAGGAGACACGGGGGAAAAAAAGAAAAGAACAAACACGAAAAGAACAAATGGCGCGACGTCACGTGTGCCATGGTCAAAGCTGCTGCGGGTCATGGCCATGGTTCCCCTACCCCTTGCAATGATTGCCAACTTGTGGTCAATAGCCAGTCCTAAGCCCAAGCTTATGGCGCACTTTCACGCAATTCCGAAAATGGTGCCAACTGTGTGGCTCGTCTTCCTTTAGGGGGCCCGCCAAATGGCGCCTTTCCCTTCTGTATCTTTTAAAAACCAACCAAAAGGGGTGCCCTCGAAAAAAGATAGACCCAGCTCCCAAAAACAACACCCCCGTAGGTCCAATTGGCGCCTCACTTCGGTTCGGATAGTCTGGCGCTGCTCCTGTGTCAGAGACTCGATGAACTTCCGCAGGGCCTCTGCCAGAAGACGAGGCGCAAGTTGTTTTCTTTTGGTACCAGCCCTTTTGGGTTTGGTCTTTTTGGGAAACCAAATGCAAACCAGTGATTTTGGGGGTGGAACCCAATTTTGAGACGCCTGTTTTGAGCAGGTCTCTTTCGGTGATGTTTTTAGAATTCGCGTTGAAATAAAGTGCAGGTATCCAAAACAAGAATGTCGGGGTGAGTTTCTTTGTTCAACCCTTTGATTGTAAGTCACCCTGGGCTTTATTTTCAATTTGGGTGCGTCTCAAAAAGCGGGGGCAACAACCGACTAGTTGGTTTGCATTTGGTTTCCAACTTCAAACCAACCCAAAAAGGGTTGGTACCCCAAGCAAACACAAGCAACCAACCCCCAAAAGGTACCCTCCGAAAAAAAAAAAAAAAAAAAAAAAGTGAAAGCCATGTTCCTTCGTCTGCCAGATGTGTCACAGAGAGAAAGAGGCGTGACCCTCTTTGGGTCCCATGTCTGCAGCGTCCGGTGCCACGCTGGCAAAAGGCGAAACGCAGCCCACGATCTAAAGGGTCTTTTTTTTTCTCAAAGGAAACGTAATCAATTCGATTCCAAGTGAGTCTCGGTTAGTGAGTCTCGGTTTGCTTCCAAGGTTTCCTGAACCCGAAAAACATGAGACCCTCAAAAACACACACACACACACACACACACACACACACACACACACACACACACACACACACACACACACACACACACACGACGCGCCCAACAATGAGCGTGGCAATTACAAGGGTTGTGGGTTTGGGGAGACGATGTCTTGCCCAGCTGAAACCCGCCTTGCGGTACGCGAGGGCCTCTTTGATCATCCGACTCTTCTTGACCTCAGGAACAGCACTCAAAGGGCACTCAAAGGCCACTCAAAGGGCAAATTACGATCACTCCCAACTGGAATTCAACAAATCCCACGCAATGCGAACCTTCATGGGTCAACTTCCCAAATTGGCGGGTAGAGCCCTCAGAAGACCTGGACTTGCTGTACACACATGACGGCAGGTTGAGGGCCAAACATCTCAAATTCTTGGAAAAAGATGTTCAGATTTCTCTGTAACCCCAAACTGGACTGAACTCTTGGTGAATGCTTCTTTGCTCGCCGAACTCGCAAACCGCCCCAACGCACTTCCCATGTTCGACACTGCCCTCTGGTTGAATAGAGATCTTGCAGAAACCCACCGTTCAGGGGTCATTACTCTACATGTCCCACCCTGACCGCATCATTTCAGTTGGAAAAACAGCAGCGCTTGATCCTTCGAAAGCAAGGTTTGTTTGTTGTCTTTGTGGGGTTCCGTTTGGGTTATTGTTCGTTCAAAGGAAATCAACTTTCTGGTGGCTTCCCCCTATTCTGGAACAGACCTGTTGGGGGGAATCATGTTCGAAGTGGCAGCTCCCTTTGCTCAAAAAAAGCCGACACGGGCGATCCCCTTATTCTTCTCCAGGTGCTTTGGTTGCTTTTTGTTGTTGGTTTCCCTTTAAGCCCCTCCAGTAGAGGTACACGCGCATGTAGGGTTCAATGCCTTGTACATGCGCATGTAGGGTTCAAATGGCTTTTAACCTAGCCGTCCGAAATGGGTAGCTTCCTGAAACAGCAACCACTTCCAGAAAAGTAGCAAAGAAACCAGCTACACGAAATACAATAAGAACCACCCCCCCACCAAACAACGTAGTGGACTGGTGTCTTTTATCCGACCCTTGAAACCCCTTTGGCACCAATGGCGACCTAGGTCCTCCAGTAGAGGGGTCAAAATAAGGCTACCCTTTTTTTCTGTGTCTATTTTAGTAGAGGAACCCTCCCCAAAAAACAGAAACGGTGAGAAAGGGCACCTAGCTGGGGGGCCTAGCGACGAATCCCATCCCGCTCGGCCGATGTGCGTCATCCGCCAGCAGCAGCACCGAGCCGTCGTGGGTGGCCAGCAGCCAGGCCGCCGCCACCTGCGCGCTGGCCTCGTCCGCGGGCGTGCTGGGCCCGGCGTGCTGCGGCCACAGCCCCCGGTGAACATCTGGGGGAAGAGGGAACACTACCGGGGGGGGGAGCTCAGGGATCTTTCAGTGTTTTTCAGGGATTTTTCAGGGACAGGAGTGACTTTTTCAGGGAAAGTAAAGTTGGATTCCCCTTGTCCCAAACATGAGTCGCCTTTTTGGCGAGCCCCAAAGTGACAAATGCATCTGCTTGATCCCAACTCATTCTTTTGCAACACCACCAGGATTCACGTGCCCGTGGCCCATTGCTTTGATCCTGCCCACGTTTTCTCTTCCATCTGCCCCACCCGCACACCTGCTCCCTTGAGCATATTTCAATCTTGATCGCAAAACGACAAAATCTCCCCATATTCTTTGTTCTTTATTTATATATATATATACACAAATAGAAGCGCCAGTGACAGCATCCGCAGCCCCGGAGGAACCTTAGATGCCATCAGCCAGCCAGAGAGACCTAAGTAGACGGCCTTACCATGTGCGTACACAAAAAGCACGGGACAGTAGCTCACAGCAGGCAATGCCCAGAGTGTCACATGACATCAACCTAACAGGAGCACGAAAACAGTGAAACAGGAAAGGGGGAGAGAAGCAACCCAAAACAACAAGCCGGCACAACTCAACCAGCAGCACTCACGTCTGCAGAGACGCAGAGCGACACAAGCACAGGGCCACAAACAAGTTCACCCCGCATCAGCGTCGGCTCCCCTTGTCAAAGGCAAGAGTTTGAGCCGCGTCTTCTCAAGGTGCTCAAGCACCTGCCCACTTCCCCATCCAAGCCTGGCCTGAATGGAGTTGGTCGCAAAACAACCATCTCTCCATGTTCTTGTTTCTTCTTTTTCCTGGCGCCTTTCTCCCCACAAGCCGCCCCCACCCACCCACCCCAGCCACCCCCCCCAGCCACCCCCACCCACCCACCCCAGCCACGCCCCCACCCCACCCCCCAGCCACCCCACCCCCCCACCCCCCCAGCCACCCCACCCCCCCACCCCCCCAGCCACCCCACCCCACCCCACCCGCCCCTGTCCCACCCGAACGGCCTGAGTCCAGCCCGTGAGGCCGTAGAAGGGCACCTCGTTGGACACCGTGTCCTCGGCTCTCGGACGGTGCTCGGAAGAAAAAAAGAAGGACAAAAAAAAACGGGAGCCGGTGCTCGGCCGAAAAAGGAAGAATAAAAAAAAGAGGAAATATCGGAACCCCTTGCTTGGGGGTGGAAAGTGGGGACCAAAAGGAAAACTACCAGAAAATTGGTGCCCAATTTGGAGAAACCGGCTGTTAAAAGGGAAAAAGGAAGGAAACGCAAACGGATTAAGGGCAAAACGGGCCACAACTGGTAAGGTTCAGCCCGGTACATGTGTTTTCATTTATCCAAGTTGGAAATGGGGAAAATACATGAACATACTAACTCAAGTCTGGCAATGTCTCGTGGTTCCGTGCGAAGCGGATGGAGTTCCGCGACAGCACCGGAGCGGACATCTGGCCGTTCTCCACCTCAGCCGGAATGCGGCGGTGGGCTTAGGGAAACCAACAAATATCAAATGACATATCCAAGGGCCAACTTTAGCCCAAATGCACCCAACATAACCAACCACAGAAAAAGTCCCCAAGTTTCAGAAGGGATACGTTTTGGGCATTCTTTGTTCCAAGCTGGTTCCCTTTTCCCTATGTTTCGAAAAGCGAATACGGGAAATATTCATGTGGGGAACCCCGTTTGGCAACTCAAGGCTCGAAATGTGTTGCTCCTTGCTGGATTGAACAAAATAGCTTGCTCAGAGCCTCGTATTCACCCCTTACCCGAACTTGGGCAGCTGGGGCTTGGGGCCTTTCTCTCGTGAGCTCCTATGGCCCTCCACCTCAAAAGGGGGGCGCCTGGGGTCGGCGCATCCTTTGTCAAACAAAGGGTTCCCAATGAAAGAAACCTTCGCCAGAGAGGTTGCAAAGCAAGATCCCCTTCGCCTCTTTGCTCCTTGGTTCTTTTCGGCGTTCCCTTTCGGTTCTCTTTGGTGTCTATGGCCTCCTTATCAATGTCCTTGTCATTTGCAGAATGTCCCTTTCGCATTCGGTGTCCTTTTTTACCAGGCCCCTATTTCCCCCACTGGATGCCAATGACAGCAATGCTGGACTTCAAGGGCGCAGCCTGTGGACAACCTCTCACGCCCGAACCCACCTTCCCCTCGAAAGCCCGAGGTGCCTTTGTTTGCCATGGACAAATCTCCACCAGCCACGGAGTGAACTCTACCCGGCGGAGATTGGCGTGTCAAATAACGGTTGAACAGTTGTGTCGTTCCTCAGGAATATATTTGGAGACCTCGTCGATTTACGTTTTGTTTCAAGGGAAATTACAAAATGCGCATCTACCTTGGAAGCAACGCAAATAGGTGTCCTTTGCAGGTTAGTCTGGTTGGACATAGATGGCACAGGTTTAGATCGGCGTTCTTCCATTTACCAGGGCTATCTATTTGACCCAAAGAAAAAACGTCTATGACGCAAACCGTGTGCCCCAAGTCTCGCGGACTTCTGCCCGGCTACGTTGTAGGCCCTCTCCGGCAACTCCGAGGGCCTCTTCATCTCAATCTCCCGCCTCAGTCTGTCAGTTGCACTCGGGGGAGTCCGAGTCCATTTTGGAATTGCCCAGATAGACAGGGATCCGCATACATTGTACACCTGAACATTGCAACTTGTTTTCTGGTGGTGTCCAACTTCATTTTGGTGTTGACAAAGCAATATGTTTCAAATGGTTGCAAAATGGATATCTTTTGAGGAGCCCTGATAGACTTGGGTGTCTTTTTGGGGGGTTCCCATTTTGGAGTGGCTTTCAAGTGGAAACCGAAAGGACACACCGTCATTTAGTAAACCTAGGTGTTGTTGATTTCATTGCAACTTTATCTGAGAGTGGTAAGCTTATGGCCAATCATTACCCCCCTGTCGCCTGGCTGACCGAGTTACGGTACGACTCTGCAGCTCTTCCAAAAGTCGCAACATGGCAAATCAGCGCTAACACCCTCCCACATGTTTCACCCGCATCTCCAACCGTCTAAGTTTTAACCTCTGAATGGTCGACCACAAACAACGTCACCAGCCGCTTCCATTTGGGTATGGGTCAAAATTCAACGACCAGGGGACCGCAGGTTTTGGTCGTTGTTTCAATTTACCAGGGTTCCATGTTGGCCTTCCGTGCGAGCGAAGCACAGGTGCTTCACCCACTCCGTGTTGTCGAAGTCCACGGCAGCTGGGCCCACCTCGATGAACTTTCGCATCCAGACCTCGGTTTCGCGAGTCGTACCGAAGGGAAAAGGAACCCGCAGTTTGGGGTTGACCATGTTTACTGCTTTTTGCAGGTTCTATGCCCAGTGGGAAAAAAACAAAAGGGGCATGTGTGCTTTCGGTTGGCTGAGTATAAAGGGGAAGCCTTTCCCTTAAAGAGAGTTCCCCCTACTCCAAATACCCACCTTTTTTAGGGTATCATGTGGGCCCTCTACTAAAAAAGGAGGAATCTTTCGTGGAAAACCGGGTTATTCAAAAAAAAAACTTGAAAAAAAAACCGGGTATTTGGAGTAAGGGGAACCGAACCCAGTTGGGCCCGGGGAGATGGAATTTGGTTGCACCTGGGGGCCCGGCCGACAGGAGGAAGTCCGTGGTCGGAAACTGCTCCCCAGTGGTGAGATGCACACCTCGCGATCGAACGGCGGAGTCGGAGTCGGGACGTTGCCGGCATTTGGGCGTGCGCTTGGTTTGAGGGTAATTGTTTTGGGTGGGTTTGAAGGTGTTAAAGGGAAACCAAGAGGAAAACCAAAGCCATTTTCGGGGTTCCAAAAAGACAGACCCATGTTGTCTTTGGATCTTGTGGACTTTCGGGCCCTTTCCAGCGATTCGCTTCTGAAAAGCGACCCACGGTTCTTCTGATCCATCACTCCGGGGACCCCTTTTGAAAGGCTCCTCCTTTCCACTCCAACTTGGAATCTGATGTGATCTTCTGACAATTCCCTCAGGTCTTTTGAGGGTGCCATTCTTTCATTTTCGGACAAACTCAAGGAAGGCGCAACAAGTGCAAAAGGCCCCACATTGACAAGGCCACTGCGATCAGCCATCAGCCGCACTTTTTTTCATGGGGCGGCCTTGAATGTCCGCTGGCCCCGCGCGAGCGTTCGGGGATCCAGTGGCTTCAACAACTCCAAGGGGATTGCGGGGTGTAGGTCATGATCATGGGGTGTTAGCCTAGGTCATCATGGGCCAATGTGCGGAACTATTCAGTGCCTTGCAGCAGTTCTTTCGACCCGAGACGGGGAATTATGATATTTAAGTTTCTGAAAGGGTACCGCAGGAAACAAACCCAAGCGTCTACCCGTGACTGGCGCTGTGGCTCCATTGCAAACGTGGATGTTGCGTTGGATTTGTTTGACTTCGCAGAGACGGTGCAATGCTCGTCCAAATGCTTCTTGTCACAGTGGTCTAAGTGGTCTAATCATGTCCAACCCGAAACGATCCAACCAGATGAACTCACTGGAATTCGCAGAATCCCCAAGCGAAGAACGTGTGTCATGGGTGAGCTTTTTGTTTTATGTTTAACCTACAGTTGAGCTCGTTGGATTTGTTGGCAAAACAATGTTCAATCCAGTATCACTCATATCCCTCCTTGATAGCGGTTGCGCTTTTGCATTTTTGGAAGCATCAACCTCTTTTCTGGGCGTAGGTTGCAAAGACCTACAAGGATTCATGTGCTGCCAACGGACCATCAGCAACGAGCGGACCCCATCGCAATAAGCCCAGGTGGTATCACCAGCAAGCCTCTAGAGCCGCTCCCAAGAGACAAGGTAACAGTGCTCCAACTTCCAAAGCCTCCAAATCCCCAAGGGGGGTAGGTTCACAGGGGGTTGTCATTTTGTGCCCTAGGGTTCCTTAGGCTTTGTTCGGGCTACGTGGTCACCCGGAATCGCCGTCCTGTTTGTCGGTTGCTCCCATTCAAGCTGATCGGGGTCGACCAAAAGCCATTGAGCAAGTTCTGCAGCCAAAGGAAGGGACCCCAACGGACCAATGGTCTATCCTTGAAGGGAAACCAAGCCAAACGGAACACAAACAAAGGAAAAGGAAACCAAACGGAAACTAAGAGGAAACTAGCAGGAAACTGACAGGAAGCCAAAAGGAAGCCAAAAGCACCCAAATGAACCGTCGCCCCAAGCCATCTTACCGAAGAGTTCCTCGCCCCTCGCATCCTCGCCTTCGGTGTACTCCTGCTGCATCGTGGGGTCGATGCTGAGCACCTGACCGCTCAGGCCCCGGAACCGAAACTATCCCCAGGTGACCTATGGCAAGCCATTTTGGATGGATGAACATCCATTTGCCACCTATTTTGATGTTCACCAGGGGTTTCCTGGGCTTTGACCCACATATCTTGTTTGGATTCGTAGCGTGAACAAATGCAAAAAGTGCTTTTTGGCTTGTTTGTGGATTCCCGGCGAGAGATCCAACCATAAGTGTCCGTGCCAGGTCTTTCGTTAGAAATAGGCTTAGATTGCTTTTATGCCATCCGAAAGGACCCATGCAACCCATCCGTATCAGGCAATTGGCTTCCCCAAAGCTCGACCCGACTGTGCTTCTTCGCTTAAGGAAACGCGGTTCCCTGCCAGACCCTCAAACGACCCTGCCCGAGAATTCGGGGGGTGGTTTCACAAGGGTAATTTGAGGGTCCCGCTATATGATCCTTAGATGTCTAAAAGTGACTGTGCATCACACACCCGTGGAGATGAAACCATCTTGGATGCAGACAAGTAGGTTCGATCTCCTGCCACCGCAAACTCCCCTGGCTGCTTGACGTCACGAATGATGGAGCCCCAAAAGGGGTTCTGAATCCATGCAAGCACAGAACGAAACTGGCCAACGGGCCGTAAAAAGCGACAGGGATTGGTGAGCTTGGTTCTTTTGACCTCCAAATGGGGAATCATGATGGACGGCCCGGCCACTTCATTGAACGTGAACACTTGGTGCCCCTTCTTGCGGAGGGGCCACAAGGAAAAGTGAGTCATAAACAAAACCTGGTATTAAAATGGTCTACCCAAAACCAGGTAGAGCATTGAAAACGCGGCCGCACCCATGAATCCATTTGTGGCTGGGATTCTCCCTGACCCTCCACTTGCCCGCGGTTCGATTGTGACTCACCCATCATTGAATTGATTCTTCCCTGACTTCCCCTTGAAACCCCGCGTTGTCGTGTCAAGTTCAACCGGTGATCCAGGCCTCGCCATAGGCATACACATCTGCCTTGTCCACATAGTCCGCAATGTGCTGCGGCCGCATGTGCCTGTTCTCTGGCTTAAGAGCTGTCAAGGTCCCAAAAGCAAGCGTGGACCTTCACACAGGACGGAAAACACTGCAAGACGCGGGGGCCGTCTTCGGCCGTTCCCAAAACTCGAGTGGTCGTAGGAAAAAATGGCGTTCTTGGTAGTTGCTTTGAAAAGGGTCCAATTTAAGTACAAGTTACAAACAGATCGACGAGGGTTTGGCCAAGTGAGTTGTAGCTTGTTTGGGCTCCAGTGAGACCTTAATGAAAGTTATTCGCACCAGTTCCACTTTGCGGTTTTGCGTGAACTTGTGAGCATGTGCACAGAGGCAGTGTTGACATTTGGGACCAAACATCTTTGGAGCAGGTGTGGCAAGTAAGGCATGTTAGATTCGTTCGATCTAAACCCTAGACCACCAACATCATAAGAAGTCAAAAGGTCGGTTTTAGGCGACGGGCAAGCTAGACAAACACGGAACCTGCCAGCCAACCAGCGTTTGTTCCCGACCAAGGTGCTTTGCCGCGTCAAAGCGGAAGCCAGAGATGCCGCAAGACTTCCTGAGGCGCTTACTTGTTGCCCGATTCCCGGGACCAAAATAGACATGGTGAACCTGCCCGCTTCAGCACCGATTTCCCGGTGGCCTGACTATGGAAAGGCGGCTTAGCGTGTTTGAGCGTGCCTGCACATCTGTCCTGCATGGGGATTCATGTCCACCAACCAGTGCGTCTCTTATTAGGCTACATCAAATCCTCAAACTTGCTCCCCCCTTAAAAACCACCCAAAAAAGGGGTGCCCTCAAAACAAGACACCCATTTGTAAGGGCGCCAACACGCCAACTCCGACGCGAGCCAACGCCGCTTGCCATCCGGGGCTCAGCTTGGCCATGTGGGCGTTGTGTACTGCCACGACTTTGGGAGCCCCGCCCTGGCGTTTGGGTCGAAGCTCGGCAAGCGACCCGTGTGTCACCGAAGGGCAGCTGGGGGGCCTAGTCAAACTTTTGGTCCGCCGCTATGGTCCAAACCCAAAGAGTTGAAAGTCCAACTCAGGAAGTGAGCTGTTGACAAGCTTGGGCTTCCAAGTCTGGACGTTTTGTGACTATGTGAGGTATGCGGGGACAGCCCTGGGGGCCAGGTTCGGGTTCTTGACCAAATCTGGGTCTGGATCAAAGTTCGAGGCAATTGAGCTTGGCTCCACCGGTCCATCCTGCCTGTTTGATACCCAGGTGTCTGCTTTCCAGACGTCTCTCAAAACCTGGTCGTGTTCTAAGCCGCCTGAACCCATCCCAGGAGCCCCGCAAACAACTTCGCCATCAAACGTTTGAAAGGCCTCTTGAGCGACCCTTCACCACTTCGAGGAAGAGCCACGAGTTCGAACCCAAACGGACCTTTGCAATGTCACACATCATCACACCTGCCACCTCCGCGACCAAAACCCCTGGCGTGCCACTCCAAGCTTCCACCGAAGCACACCCAAAGCCCTGAGAAACAGCTCGAAGGCCACTTCCATTTGGTTAAGACCCCTGGAAAATAAAAATGTGTCCAATAGTGATAGATTCCCTTTAAAACCAACTAGTCTTAAGCAAATGGAAGGCCATTGTTCAAGGCCAGGCTGGTGGACCAAACCTTCAGCCATCTCGTTCGCGCGGCTGGTAAACAAACCGCGTCCCAATGTGAGCCCCACCCCACCCCCCACCCCCCCCCCCAAAAAAAAAAAAGAAGCCCCCAAAAGAGCCCCAAAACGTAACGCAAACCGAATATCCCCCAAAAGAAAGCCCCTCAATGGAGCTCGCTGGATTCCCCCTTCCAAAGTTGATCAACTTACCGGTGGTTTCCCTTGAAACTGCCACGTAGGTCCCAAAAAAGGGGGGCATTTCTTCTGAAGAACCACCTAGATACCCAGGTGGCTGCTTTTTTTCCGTCACTGTTGCTGGTTTTTGTGGTAAAGTGCATAGAGAAAAAAAACGATCGCAACTGGCGATCCAGGCTCCCCAAAGCGATGCCGACTCCGCAGGCCTTGAGCTCGGACCACTCGCCGCAGCCCCAGCCCTCCATGCGCTTGTCGCTGTCCCAGTCGTCGCCCTCCAAGGGGTACCAGGGCCACTGGAAGTCGTCCCTGGAAGGAAAATCCGAGGTGGGTCGATCGCCCTTTTTTTTTTTTCTCGGGCGGGGGGGGGGGGGCCGGGAGGGACCTGGGGGTGGGGGGTGGGGAAGGGAACTTGGGGGGAGGGGGGAAGGGAACTTCTGATTTGAATCTCGGGCTATGATTCTAAGGGCCGGAACACCCAGCCAAACAGTAGGTGGACTGAGAGAACCCCTTTTTTGGGTGGCTTACCTTGCGGAAACCAAAACTTTTGGGCGGTCCGATTCCTATTTTGAGACACACTGGTGCCACAAAATGTCCCATGTCCCGCTCTGTTGCCACTGGCAACGAGAATTCTGGTCAGAAAACCTTCGCAGGATCTCTTCGGAGAGTTCCCTTTGGTGGCTCTTCTTTTAGGAATCAGACCCCCAAAATCGAATCATCACAAGGGGTAGCAACTCGAAAACGACACCAAAGTGTGCATCTTTAGGCCCATGGCTTTGCCAAAAAAAAACCGGCAACTAATAAACCGGTTCTATAGGGGGCGTTCCCCTCAAGCGGTCATTCCCCACTAAACCCACCCTAATCAACGAGGGTTGCTAATCCGGGGGTCCCATGAAAGGAAGTCCAACAACTCCTTTGGATTTCCCAATGTTAACCAGCACAAAGCAAGCAAATGCGTGTCTTGTTTTATTTATTTTATTGTTTTTTTTTTTTTTTTGGGGGGGGGCATTCGAACCTCCAACAATAGGGGGGTCTCTTTGGTAAACGACATTCATCCCATACTGATTCAGAGCAATTTGAGTAGCATGGGCAGCTATTGCAGCCTTGCAATAACTACTGCTGACTCTTTGGGCCACTTGGATGCGCTGAACAAGCATTGGAAGTGGATCGCGTGACAACCCTACCGGCACACCCAAAGCGGGGTACACAGCATGAACCCTCTCAACACATCTTGTTGTTTGTCCCCCAAAAGGAGATCCGAATCTCCAAATGATGCCTTCCACGCCTGCGGCTTGTTCTCAGCCTTCCCTGTGTGTTGAACAGGGGGTCTGGAAAATTAGAAATCGTGGAAAATTAGAAGCCGTACCCGTCCCCTTTGTCTCTCCTTCTGGGAAACTCATAAATACTGACGGAAAAACTCCTGCACCAGTTGGAATGGGATAAGCCACCAATCCCGCCAGGTGCCGATCGCAAAGCAAAAAAATGGTACCCGTCCACATGGGGAAACGGTTCCTTGCGTTTGCTTCTTTCTGTTGTTGTGGAAAATACAAGGAACTGCACAATTTCAGGGGCTCCACGAACAAAAGACCCCCCCCCCCCCAGGTTCTTTAGCACCCATTTCGGGTGTCTTTTCGAGGGTACCAAAAGGACGCCACCAAGGGTCACCAAAAGGACGCCTCTGTTTCAAGCAGTTGCAAGTTTCTTTTTGAGGGCAACCAAGGGTGCTAAAGACTGTTCCAAACCGAAAGGAAGCCACCGGTCCCAATTCCAAGGTCGCCTGTCGAAGGTGGGCCCCAGCTTCTGTGAGAGCCGCCGCTGCAGGATCTCCATGACCCCGTCGTCCTGGCGCCGGCCGGCACAGCGCTGCAACCAAGGACGGGGCTGCTCGTGGAAGCAAGGGACTATGCTCCATCCCCAGTTTGGTCTAGGTCCTCCAGTAGAGAGGTTAGAATCAGGGTACCCGTTTTTGTTATTGTTTTCCTTTCCGTAGTCTATTTTAGTAGAGAGCCCTCCCCAAAAAAAGGGTAAAAGGGCGCTACTGGGGGACTTAGTGGTGCTTTTGGGAAAGAAACAACTTGCGAGCTTCTTGGCACCCAGTCAAATTGGGGGGACAAGTGGTGAATCTAACATGGTGTCGTGTGTGGTTGCATATTGTGTGATGCGCTGTATACACACTGTTTGGCACATATCTTGCATACCCCTATTTGGAAAGTTTTGAAAGGGAAGCCGGCCCCCCATTTTGCAAACAACCCCACCGCTTCGCAGAGGGATGTCCAATACTGCCCAACCTCTTGAGGGATGTCTCACTTGTGAGGTGGTAGATGTGCATGGTCAAAGTCAAACCGAAAAGTGAATGATAGCAACCAACGCATCATAGAGTTTGGATGTAGCCTTCCGCGAGATGTAAGAACAGGTTCATCAATTATTTATTTTGACAAGTTGATCACATGCATAAAACTGTAGCAGCTCCAGCCAATGCGCAAACAAACAACGCAAAAGGAGCCCTTTTAGCAATGCAAATAATGAAGAGTGCAGCTTATGGCGGATTCTATTTGACGCTTGGGGCTGTCCAACCTTCATGTTGCAGGTGTTCAGTATGGTGGAGGGGGGAAAAAAAAAGCATGAAGAGAAACAAAAGGAAACAAACAAAACATGAGTACCCCTGGGAACCCCACCCCACCCCCACCCCCCCCCCAAAAAAAAAAAAAAACGAAAAAAAAAGACTCCCTCCCTCCCAAGCCTGGCCTGCTGGGCCTTGCGCCACTCCTCACAGCTGGCCACCACCTGTCCACCGCCCCTTTTTGCCTTCGGGGCTTACTGGTGGCCCCCTGACCCGAAAGTCACACCAATCTCCTCGACCTGAGTCAAATGTGGGGCCATCCCCGAGCCACCTGTCAGGAAGCCTAAAAGCCAAGACCAACCCTGAGCCAATCTCAAGCAAGGCAAGGCGAAGCCAAGCAAAGCTCAGCCAAGCAAGCAAGCCGGCCACCAACCAGGTCTGCCAGGGTCAAGGCCCATGTGCCTTTCCAAAGAATCCATCTTCTCTCACGCTCTTCCCCAAGCCAAGACAATCTCCGGACCCCACCTGCATGTGGTTGAAGACCAGGTCCCCGAAGACCAGAAGCCCAGCCTTCTCGCAGGCTTTGCAGCAGTTCCGAAGGTCCTGCAGCAGTTCCGAGGGTCCAACTAGTTTACAGATGGGACAAGCTTCCAGGGGGACTCGTGTTCCAGATTGCCGCAAAGGTGAAGGAGACTCTCTCGAAGCCCAACTTGCTGCTTGAAAGGTGAAATGCTGGAAAGTGCTTTTTGGGCACAAGGGCAAACAGGTCAGGCAATGAGAACCCTTCGCCTCTGAGGCGGCCGCGGTTTCGCAACACAGGACTCCACCGGAACTCTGATAAAAGATACGGCAGACCCTTGTCCTCTATCCATGAGCCGGTCGCTTTGCTAAGGTCGCTGGTCACCCTGAACGTCCCAATTCGAGTTCCATCGTCAGTTACAGAGGCTCGCCACAGCACGAAACGCAGCCGAGTTGGTTGATGGGGCAAAGAACAAGCAAGCATTAAGTATCTGCTAGCATTTGGAGTTCGCGGAGGTTCATTTTCCGGCGAAGCCTAACCTAAAATCAGAGGGCGTGAAGATCAGGCTCATCCCAATACACCCAAAGGTCACAACAGCAACCCGAAAATGCCCAGAACAATCCAACTCACTTCCCTTCCCAGCGCCCAGTCCGAAGTAGTACTCCCCGAAAAGCAAAAAACAAACACCACACGGGTGCCTCATCTTTTTGTAGGAATCGGACCCGCCCCAAATGGTGGGTGTCCGTTTTTTCTTGTTTTCCCTGCAAAAACCACCATAAAACGGGCGCCGAGATGGTTGGTGTCCTTTTTGGCTTCCCTTTAAACACCGCCAAAAACCAGGGCGCCGACTCCCAAAAACTCCGACGAGCCACCCACGGCTCCCGGCACCCCGGCACCCCGGCACTGGGCGCCTGCTCCGAGCCCAGGCCGTGGATCTCTTCGTACTTCACGGGCTGGTACCGCGTCCACCACTGGTCCCCTCCGGAAGTGCCGAGTGATGTGGGTCTATCTTTTTTAAAACGGTGGGTAAGAAAAACCAGGAAACCCACCATTTTTCCAGGACAGTTGGGAACTGTCTTTTTGCGAGCTACCCTTTTGTTGGTGGCTTCAAAGGGAAACCAAACGGAAAACCATGTCAGGGGTCCCCAAAAAGGGACACGCCCAAATGGACGCCATTTTTGAGTTGGTACCCCTTTTGGGATCCCCTTTTGGATGGTTTCAAGTCCAAACAGACCGCCGTGGCGTGTTGGGAAATCTCCAACTCCCAAAGAAGAGCCGAGCCGCCCACGTGCACAGCCAAGCTGCGAGAAGAAATTCCCCAAACCCCACGGAGCCGAAGGCAAGAGACTGCGAACACATCCACTCAAGCACCCGATCAAAAATTCGACACCCGGTCTCCCGAATACAGTCATTAATTCGAACGGGGTTGTGGGGCAGTTTGAACCCATATTTTGGCATGACTATAGCAGCTAACTATTAATATATAATTGAATGTGTGTATATATATATATTTATTATATATATATATATATTATATGACTAACGGACAATAGTACTGATGTTGCATTGGCTGGGCCTTTCGGTCTTGGCAAGAAACCAAACTGGGTAGGTAAGCCATTCTCCCCAAATCGACCATACCACTAATATTGTCCGTTACTGATACAACTAATCAGCCCCTGTTATCCTGAAAGCAATGCTACCCCGATCCAGCTCGTCGCAAATTTACAGAACGTGTTCAATGAAGGAGAAATACGTAAGCACGTCTCAAGCAGACAGACGGTGTTTCTCTCGGCCCGAAACTGCACCTGCGCGGCCTGATTTCCTCACCTTCCCGATTGGGGCCGGGGCAGGGGAGGTTCTCAAAATGGAGCACCCCAATTCTGGTGAGCACTTCGAGGGAAACCCAAAGGAAAAGTATGTGTGTGTGTGTGTGAGCGTGGTTCACAAGGAGACCGCCACTTGGGCGCCCTTTTTCGTGGCTACCCTTTATGGGCGGTTCTTCAAAAAGACGAAACAAACGCCTAAAAAAGCAAAAACGGAAAGATCTCTTTCTGATCCCATTTGGGGCATGGGCGATTAAGAAAAAACAAGCAAAAAACAAAAAACGAAAAAAATAAGAAGGAGAAAAAGAAGAAGAAAAAAACCGGCCAAGGCAAAAACCCTTTGGGGGCATGGGGGACATCTTCCCAGCCCCGGCCGGGCCCCCCCCCCCCCGACGTCTTCTCCCCCGCCCTCGATGCTCCGCTGCGCGGGGCTCAGCTGCACCGCGTCGAAGCCCAGCGCCGCGACCATCGCCGCCTTGCCGCGTGGCCGCCGGCCGCCGGCCGCCGGCCGCCGGTGGCCGGGGACCGGGGACGGGAAAGGTCCCCCCTTCAACTAACCCCCCCAAAAAAAAACCCAGCTGCAAGAAATGATGCCTATAACCTGCTTAAACGGTGTGTCAACAAAGGGATGCCGCAACTAGTGAACAGCTTGATCCGAAGCCCCGAAACTCCTGGGGTGTTTAGGCTGATTTTTCAAAGGTCCGGAGGGTAGCTGCCATACCGATCTACACCGCTGCCAGCTGAAACTGAAGCGAACACCAACCTAAAAAGGAGACCTATGGTGTTTAGGCTCATACAGGTCGCGCAATGGTGCACCTGCTTCGTGAGCCGTTCACCTAGTCATTGAGCCAAACTAAGACGCGACCCGACCCGCTCGCCGGCGGAGAACAACCCAGCCGTCGCCTTCTTCTGCACGTCGCAGAACTTCCAGTTGAAGGCATGGAAGATCTCGGGGCCAGCACAAGAGGCACAAAACTTCACTCGCTCGTTCTTGGCCAACTTAGTAACTTGGGAATTATCCTCCGGGCAAACAAATCACACACCTGGAGAAAAAAACAAACACACAGAAAAAAAAAGAGCACACGCGTGGGGGAGAGAAAAAATGAGCCAGCTCCATTGCGAGTGAGGTCCCAAAGCCCTCACAATCTGTCCGCAATCCATAAATTCCATGGGGTGCTGGATGGTCTTGCTGGGGTTGCAGCCCAAAGCCTTCTCATGTGTCACGCTACAAACCCCTGTCACCTGAACCACCACTCCCTTGACAAAAAACGGTCGCATGGAGAGCTGTTTGGCAGCGCAACACCGGAACTGGCCATCAAGGACCAGGAGATAGCTCGGAGTGTAATTACTACACATAGAGATGTCTGCAAGCTCGAGCGCGAGCGCTAAGGGAAAACAGCTCATGGAAGTGGCCAAATAGCTCTTTGGGCCAATTTGAAGGCATTGGCATTTTGACTGCCAGAAGCGAGCAGCCCAGCCCCTTTTTTTCCGTCAGCGGCCACTAAAAATGTGTTTTTTTCTGCTTGATCAGCTCTGAGCGCAGCAGAAATCAAACGCAACAAAGGCCGGCAGCTGGCATCCTCCCAAGCCAAGAACATTCTATGCATGCCGTTCGGAAGCATCATTTAGGGACCGTGTGTCCCCCAAAGACCGGAACTAACAAAAAAAGACGAGGGCTTTTCCTTCAGCCTCTGACCCGAACCCTGACCCACGGGTCCCGTCCCGCTTCTACCAAGGGGCAGCACCTGGGAACTCTAGGGGGTCAATGTCCACCAGCCAGTTGCCCCAAACCACCTGAGGGCCAAGGCCAGGTCCCAGCTTTTTGTGTTCCTTCGGCGTGAAACGCACATGGAGCCCTGATCTTGGAAGATCTGTGAGCAAAAGTTGAGACTCTGAGGAGCCATGCCAGATAGAAAGTGGTTGTAGCTATGATTCAGGGGAGTTCTAACAGAGGTAAATGTGTTATGGCCTCGTTAAGTAGATTGTGTGGCTTAAAGCCACCGGCATGTCAACACCATCGACCGTTCTGCTTGCTCTCCATGCCCATGTCCACCTGTTTACAGTACCTAAAAGATAAGCAGTCTGGGGTCCCCCAACAAGTACGGTGGGTGGACCCCTCAAACACACGCGCGGACCTCCAACAAACAGTTCCTCACGGAAACGCAACCGACCGAACCCGACCGAACCCCCCCCCAAAAAGAAGGTGAGCACCCTTGCTTAATTCTACAAGTGCCAGGCCGTCCAATCGAAGCTGAATGGCTGTCAGTGTTTCAAACATGTTGGCATCAAACCCAGACCGACTCGACCAAAAGAGGGCGAAGCAGCGGCGAGTTGATGCATGCTCATGCCGTTGTGAGTTCATGCCTCCAGCTCCTCGTTCATGCCCTCCTCCTGGAAGCGGTTTAACTATTGCAAACCCCTTTTGAATCAGCAGAAAGTCATACTGAGTTGGTAAGCGGTTTATCAACCATTTATAGGGTTTCATCTATCCTAAGTGAGTGCGAGGTAGAGTTCGTCCATGAACACAGCGTGTTTGTTTTCCCCGGGCAACAAGTTTAACCAACACGCGGAACGACTTCTCGGGCATCTGTGCCTGGCCAGGGGATCAAAAGGGCATGCCTGTTTTAATATGGGTGCGGCTCAAAACTAAAGATCTAGGGCTACGCAGGTGTTGGTATTTGGCTCAATTTGCCAAGGTGCCATGTTGGTACATTTGTCTGAGCCACAGCCATATTGATCAAAGTTATCTACAAAGTGTTGTTGTTCCTCAACTGAACCCTCCAATCCTGGTAAAAAGGACGCCCCGTCCGGGGGGAAAAAAACAACAAGCAACCTTGGAGGGGGTCGATTTGCCTTGTTCGGAGGATGAGAACCAGAGGCACTGGCTGCCCGTCAAATATATCAGCGCATGGTGCCACATGTAAAGCGGAATGGTGCTGGTCTAGTCTGGGTGTGTCTGATTTTGGAGTTGGTGCCCTTTTGGGGTTGTGTAAGCAAACCAAATCAAACCTCGGGGCTCTCTTTCGGGCTTGGTAGTGAACTATAAGGAAACCACACGTTCTTTCGGGAAACTCCAAAAAGCTCGCTCAAGCTGGCAAGCCTAGTTCAGTCGCAGGGCAGCTTTCTTAGTTTGCCCTGAGCATTGCCTCTGCCGCTGTATGCCGCTTTCCGCTCAGCCTCCTTCACCCGCCACATGGAATTCTGGGCTTGACTAAGTGGCTGTTGGTGGAGGGGCCTTGCTTGCCGTCGAAAAAGCGTCACCACACAGCACTGATTAGGAAAAGACTCCTGTCACAGACTAGTGAGTTCTCAAGTTACCGGAATCTGGATGCATGAAATATTGTTGGCAGAGCCGAAACCCTGCTTGAGGATATGAATCAACTACCTCGGCCAGCTCCAGTCCTTGCCCTTGCGCGGGGAGGGCAGGTCGAAGAGATAGGACGCCTCCTGGGCCAAAGCAAACTAGCTCCTTGGGGATGGTTTCGAGTCAACGCCTGAGGGTTTCGAATCAATCTGACCAAACGGAAAGGAGTTGCATGCATTCATAAGATGTGCAGATTCAAAAATGATTGCTGCTGGCACTGCCGCGACTAAGCCAAAATAACAAGTGAAAGTTCGAGAAACAGATGCGTGTTGCTCAAAATTGGGGACCTCTTCAGGTAGGTTGCTTCCTGTTGGTTCACTTTAAAGCCCATCCAAAAAGAAGTCGCACGGAGCACTGCACCCCTGTTGCCTTAAAGGGTTCTTGTCTCCCTTGTCCTCCGAATCGGCCTTCCCGTAATTGTTGGCCAATTTCGCCCCCGTTTTTGCTGATAGGCCCTGAATCTGCGGCAGAACAACTGGGTGAGAACTAGAAACTCCAAACACGCAGCACATAGCGTTTAAACGGTTTCTCTCAGTCAGGATGACTCTTCTGGCTTCAGCCAGGAAGCTGTTCCTTTCTTCTGACTGTGACTCATATCGGCCTACAAGAATCTGCGTTGCTCCAATTCCGAGAGCGGCAATTGTCATGTTTAGAAGCTCCACTTGCAGATGGGTGGATGCCTTTGGCCTCGAATTCAGCCGCAAGCTCTCTGAATGTCCTTTGCGGCCTCCCATCAAGCATCGAACATGAGAACAGTGGGTTCTAGGTTATTGGGCGGCGCACTTTCCCCGGGAAATCATTCTGACAACTGGCTATCCAAAGGAAGCTCCTTGCGCTCCCATGTTTCAGATTCACGGCGTGTCAAGTAAAGGTAAAGGACATCACCGGCACACTCGACTCGCGCTCCTCCCCGGTCCAGAACCTTGGCTCACTGTCCGCGATAGATGATGCGATAGACATGGATACCCTCCCGTCCACTAAGCCATGGAACCTGACTGAGGGGTCCTGGAAGACGAGTCTCCCTTAAAGTGGACCCTCTGGTGGGCTCCATGTTAGTGGACGGGAGGGTACCAAACACAGACCAAGGGCGTAGTCTGGCCGGTTGTGGCCCTCCCCGATAAATCTGCACTTGGAGTCAGTTGACAAATCAAAATGAAAGATGCCCATTTAAAAACCAACAAGGTAGCTTCATGGGACTTGGCGTGTTGGAGAAGGGGCATCCGAGAACTGGATATGAGAGTCACAATCAAAACCTGCCTGATATTCAAATGGTCTACCCAAATCCAAGTAAGGCAACTAAAAGGCGGCCGCAACTATTTCTGGCTGGGACTGCCCCCTACTAAGCTTCACCTACCCTATTGATTGTGGCTCAGCGTCAAAGGGATAATGCGGGGTGGGAATCCTTCAGCCCCCGCAACTTGCTGTCTGAATTCCCTCTTACCAGGGGCCAAGACGATGAGCAAACCTGTGATCTCGTCAGGCAAAGCTCACTGCGATTTGTGGTGTAACATGTGGTTCTGAATTAAAGTTGCTGCTGGAGCATCGTTCCGAGAACAAAATGCAAGGACGAAGGAAAGCAGCTTTTGACATTAACCACTTTCTGAAGTTTTTTGAGTTCGGCATAAACATATTCTGCTTGCAGGCCATCTGATTGTACAGAGTCCGTCCAGACGTGATGCTCTTCTCACATCTTGCAATATCAGAACTGCTTTGCTTCGCCAACCCAGAGATTGAACAAATCCCTCGATTCTCGCCTGGTGTCGACCCAACTGCATGGCCGACTTCCCTTCGCCCGGTGGCTTTTTGGGCTCCCGGGCCGGTTGGGGCGGTTCTCCTCCCACCGGGGGATGCCGTTGTGGCCGAGGCACACAAACTTAAAGGCCATGCCTCACTCGCCAGCGAGGCAGGGGGCAAGCTCGGCGGACATGGCGAGCCAAGTTGGTTTGGTGGGCCTTGGGTTGGGTGTGTCTTTTCTCGAGCCTCCCTTTTGGATAAGGAAAAAGCCCACGCGTCACGAGACTCTTCGTCGCTTTTTTGCTTCTTCTTTTTTTCCGGGAGGAATCCCAGCTCCGGGTTCCATGGAGGCCACCGGCCTGGTTAGGTGAAGCATGTACAAGGACAGGGCCAGAGGATGGTCCTGGAAGCCTAGAAACTTGTACCGCTTGCTAACATGCCATTCTCTGAGTCGGCAGTTGGTTCGCGCTACCATGACACTGGAGTCCATCTCTATCATCCACAGACCCGGAAGACAGCTCGGGAAGCTGTCACCATGTGCCCAGGTAACTTATCTGGCAGGTGCTTGGAACACTACCTTTTGCTCGTTTGCTCGTTGGTTACAGGGAAAATTCCGCATCCCCTGCTCGCTTGCGAGTCCCAAAAAACAAGCCAATCAGATGAATGTTGTGATAATCAAATTATTATAATCACAATCAGCCAATCAAGCAACCCAAAAACAAGTTGTTCCAATCACCTCGTCGGTCAGACGAGCGAAGCGCTTCGCTCGCGAAGCGCGAGCGAAGCGCTTCGTTGAGGTCCCTGGCCAGGCGTGAGGTCCACCAGCACCCCCGGCAGGGCCCACACCTGCGGAACGGGTTCGGAGAAATAGGTGCTTCCTTATTTGTTGAGGGCACCGGCTTTTTGGCGGGTTTAAAGGGAAGCCGAAAAGGAAAATGGGCTGCTCTAAAAGAAGACACACACGAACAGCTTCCGATCGCTTGCGCCAAAGGATGCGCGTGTTAGAACCCATTGAACGGGTCAGCCATCGTTGGAGCACCTATCCGATGCAGGGGATCGACAAATATGTGGCGGTCTCATATTCCGGAGCCCTGGTTCGTCCCGGGTTTGGTCCCTCCCCGAGAAAGGATATCATCTTCTAAACCCTGCAGGGCAAGCCATTCAACCCGCGAAAGCTTAGATTTTTAGCAGGGATTTGAGGACGGCCCAGCTTAGTCATCCCTTTTGCTTCGACGCAAGGGAATGGTGCCAAACTACCGCTAAGCCAACCAAAAACCGGGGGGGAGGGGGGGGGGGGGGGAAAAAACTAAGGGCATGGCTGCGAACCACCAAGTAAGATATGGGTTGAAGAATCCTGACTTCCAACGGCATCCGGTCTCCACCTCCAGAGCTTCTCTCAACATGGACCCGATTATTTTTGCGCCGTGCCCTGTTGGTGTCCCTTTGAACCACCCCCAACCAACCAACCAACCAACCAACCAACCAACCAACCAACCAACCAACCAACCAACCAACCAACCAACCAACCAACCAGCCAGCCAGCCAGCCAGCCAGCCAGCCAGCCAGCCAGCCAGCCAGCCAGCCAGCCAGCCAGCCAGCTTCTTCCGCCACACAACTGGCGGCTTGCGGGGCCCGAGAAGGGGGCCATATCCTCCGGTCGCCGCACCTCGCGGTCTCCGGAGGGGCCCACATGCTTCAGTGCCGGCGCCATGTACGGGTTCCAGCTGCCGAGCCTCAGATAACACGAAACCCGTAGGCCACCGGGCAACCCTAGGACTTCTGACCACCAAGACTTGGGGACGCGAAAGGTTGGACACCTTGAAATGGTTACAAGGTTTCCTGAAAGGTGATGGTTGTGCGGGAGAAGCCGACTCTTTCCATTTAGGACCTACCAGAAACCAGAAGTGCTTCTGGGAAACCTTACCATGGTCATAAGGATCCCAAATCCCAAAGAAGTATCCCTGAAAACTAGTCCATGACTATCCCATTGTGGAAAACCCCCGGTTTCTAGGGGTAACCGTCCCCATGTCCAAGGAATCCGTACCAGAAAGCCACCAAACACGGAAATGATCCAGAACTTGACAGCCCCTCCCGGCAATCTGCCATCAGCTCTGTCAGCTTCCGGCACGCGAGCTTGAGTGAGTGTCTGTGTGCCTCATTCTTTGCAGAAAGCCGCCAACAGCCAAGAAGGACATTGCTGCTTAAAAATCCGTAGAGGTTCATGACAGCAACCTGAAACAATCAGTCACGGTCGTGGAAAATAAGCGCTTTCTGCAATACTGAAGTAGGATTCCCACCCTTTCTTACTGCTCTCTTTCATTCAAGGGGATTCTTTTGGCCACCCGTAGAACCTGGGAATCCCCAAAAAAAACATTTTCTCGACCAACCACGCCCTTGATACCCCACCAGCTGTCCGTTTTTGGGGCTGGAAGACTCGAAGCCAGGCCGCTGAAGCAGCGGGCTCCAAGTCACTCTTGGTTTTACCCAGTAAAAGGGGACCCAGACAAGCCACTTTGGTTTTTGCCAGGTGAAAATCCCACCCAGTAAAAGGCGACCAGACCAGACACGCACGCTCCTACGCTCCTTTCAGGAGCCGGCGCGTGGGCCTTACTCGCACTTTACAGAGGGGAAGGCAGCCGGTCTCGGCTGCTTCAAAAAGCTCTCATCCCCCTGACGTGTCCAAGTCACGTCCAGGCTGAGGGAACCCAATCGCATTTGCTGACGACTCAGCGATGAGCTTTCTTAGATGGGCCACATGTCCAGGCCGCGAGAAGCGGAGCGAGCCGCTTGCGCAAGCAGCGTGCCTTTGGGCTCTGAGAGAAGCAGCGTGCCTTTGGTCACCCCTCAAAAGTACCCCAATTTCAAGAATTCGGCCTTGTTCAACGAAGTACCAAAGAACCAAACAAGTCTGGTTCCTCTGGAATCCTACTATGGATGGACGAAATCCTGCACCAACTTGAAACCATGGTTGAAACCATAACGTTCGTTGGTGTTTACAGGGGAATCATATCATTTTTCGGGTTTCTGAAGGGTGCGAAATAAGAGGATTTCGCAGCCAGGCACAGTATCAAGTCCGACCTCCATAACCGCTACGTTCGCCAAAAGCCAAGGGGGCCAAGCAGCTCTTCCCCCTCCCCGCAGATCACCATCTGGCCCTTCATGTCGCAGGGCACCTGGCGAATCCGGCGACCGATTCTGCGAGGGTTCCGGGCAAATGGGTGGCTCTCGTCCTTTTTGATTATTGCTTTTGTTTGGCTTTGAAGGGAAAACCATTAAAAAAAAAAGAAAACAAAAATGGGGGGGTCCGATAAAAAACAGACCCGCATGGGCGTTTCAGACCACTCCCCAGGCTTACAAGCGGCTGGCTGGCTGAGCAACTGGCCTTCTGCAAGCCGAAACGAGGCTAAGTCAAATGGCGGGAGGGTCACAACCGTTTTGGGATCCCATTTTGGGGTAGGTGAATTCGCCCATTTTAGTCGGGATTTTAGTGGTTGGATTGGGATGTTCACTGGGGGTATGAAATTTTGACCCATCACCAAATGGCGGGAGGGTGGGTTGCACCTCTCGGCAACGAGGGCCATGCAAACATCAAGTCCCTCTCCCTGTCACCAACAGAAGCACCCCGGAAAAACCACCAGAGGTCGGCTCTGTGCAAGGTCAGTGTATTGGATGGCGGATTGTATTGGAAGAAAAAGGGTAAAAGCATCTCTCGCAACCCGCCCTTGTGGCTTCCGTTTCACAGGGGCGTCCAAACGAGGCGCCCGCAGTCCCCCCTAAAGCCGAGGCGAGTTTTTGCGGGCTTCCCTTTAAAGCTTTTAAGGCAAGTTTCCCCTGTTTCCCTTTAAAGCTTTCATGTGGGTTTCCCCTTCCAGTCAAGGCAAGTTTCCCTTTACAGCCTTTAAGCCGCGCCAATATCAAAACGGGTCGCCCAGAAAAGGACGCGCCACCCAGATGGTCCGGGCCTTCAGGAGCTGAAGGCAGTCCAGAGAGGCGGGGCCCCGATCTGGCAACCGGCGACACCAAAAGGAGCGATCCTCCAAAAGCAAACATCAGTAGTAGTAGTAGTAGCAGCAGCAGCAGCAGTAGTAGTAGTAGTAGTAGTGGTGAGTGGATCAAAAACTGGTACCCAAAATGGAATCCTGGGTGGAAACATGGACCAAAACCTGCGGTTTGCCCCAGCTGTTGAATTTTGAGCCACATCCACATAATCACGGGGAGTAATGGTAGTCGGGGTAGTTTAGGGGCAGCAGTCGGGGTAGAGAGGGTACAGTGGAAGGAGTGCGGGTAGAGGTTAGCGGGGGTGGGCGCAGGCGGGCAGTGGGGGCAACAGGAGGGGAGCGATGGGGCAGGTCAATTAGCTGGTGGCGTGGGTTAGCGTGGGTAGTGGTAGTGGTGGCTGTGGTAGTGCGGTTTGCGGTGGTGTGGGTGATGGTACGTGGGGTTCGGGAGTGTGGGTGGTTGTGGGAGTATTAGCGCGGGTAGTGGTAGTGGGCAATGGTTGTGTGGGGAGTGGCAGTGGGTGTGGCGTGGGGGTAGTGTGGGGGTAGTGTGGGGGTAGTGTGGGGGTAGTGTGGGGGTAGTGTGGGGGTAGTGTGGGGGTAGCGGGTAGTGGGGGTAGTGGAGTTTCATGGGCCCTGACAGAATAAGCTGTTTGAGTATATGTTAGTTTTATCATATGCCCACCCACTCTGAGGGCTATTTACATCAGACACATGCTACTTTTGCTACCTGGGTGTATCTTTTTGAGGGGACCCCCCCAAAAATATAATAATAATGCGGGTTTCCCTTTTTCCCCCTCAAAACCACCCAAAGAGGGGGAATCCTCGACAAGAGACACCCACCCTGTCTTCACGTCCGCCTCCCCAAAGAAGGATTTGGATGTAGAAAGGGGGCATGAAACAACCTCATCTGGAGCCACGTAAAGACGCCATCCGTTGCGGTTTCTCTGGGATCCGTCCAAGACCCCCCATCCGACTCGGCGGAGCTTCTCGGGTCTCCGGGCACGGCCGCACCGGCTGCAAAGAATCCGGGGAGGAGGTCTCATGGAGGTCCACATACAATGGGAGGCTGCCTCAGTGGTCGTTTTGGGGGGGCGCGGGGGTTCGGTCAGCCCCAGAAAGACTTTTTGCAGAACATGATGCACACCTTTTTCAGGGCCAAAGATGTAGTGGAAAGACTTTTTGCAGAGCATGATGCACACGTTTGATTCCCCCAACAACGCCATATAAGGATGCTCAGGGAAGCGGTTGGACGTCACAAGGGCCGTGCGTACGGAACTGCACGAGCAGCGTCGTGCCGCTCTGCACTTGGATGAAAAGTGCAAAGGAGAAGCGGACTACAGTACAGCAAACAGGGGAAATGGGGCGAGGTGGAATACAATATGAAGGAATTCAAAGCAAGGTATGAATACTCAAGGGCTGGCGGTCTTCGTCTGTCAAGCGTGGGCTATCTTGCGCATCTTTCGGAAACCTTCGACATGAATCTGGGCATAGGTGGCCTTTTGTTGGTGAATGGTTTATAAACCAATCTAAACCAGTGGAACTCATCTATTTCAGACTAAAAGGACACCTGTGATTCTGGGCAGTGTCCCGCTCTTGGGTTTTAAGTGACGGTCATTGCGTCGCAAACGCCAGGCATACTTTGCAAATCAGGCACTGGCATGGTCAGGGTGTATGCCTGCCAACTGGTACAAACATGTTTTGTTGGTTTCTTACATATCTATCCAATCCCTTCTGTGTTCTTCGTCCTTATTGTGTTTACTACAGGTGGGTTGGCAGGAATAATTTCAGGACATGCTGCAGTGGATCTAGAATTATGTGATACATAGAATGTTGCAGCTCTTGCTTTAAGTGCTATAACTGCTATCTTCTCTGGATAGCCCTCAGTGGAGAACAGACTGCTGGTGCTAAAGGACCTATTGCCTTCTAGAACCTCTTACTAAAATGGGCAACAGGGGTTTAGTTTAGGGTGCTGCTCAAACTGTTGATGCACACGCCAACCCCCTTGATTGCGCCAGCACAAAACAATTGGAACTGGCCCATCTAAAGGACCGCTGAAGATCCGCTGAAGATCCGCTCGCTCAAAATCGAAATTGGAACCAAATCCCCATCTTCAAATCCAAGGGGGTGTTTCTGAACACCCTTCCAGGAAGGTGGCTTCCTTTTGGTTTAAGCCATCCAAAAAGCCCCCCCCCCCTCCGCCCAGTGCAGGCCAGCCTGGTGAGTCCGGTTGCCCTTCCTCCTCCGGGTAGATGGAGGACGCCCCATGACCTGAGTCAGTCTCTTCCCGACCGACCGATGCGGAGATTGATGCGGACGGTTTGATCTCGGATTTGTTTCCAGATCAAAATACACATGACCGGAAACAACGGGAACCCCCAAGTAACTTCGTTTTACCCGGAAAATTGGTGAGCTTGTTTGCCCGGATTGATGTCCTTGGATGCCTTTTGGCTTAGATGCCATCAACCGCTGAGTGGATGACCCTTGGCAGAAATCGTCAGCGTCGGGGGGGCAAACAATGAAGGCATGCAAGGATAAGACATGCAGTTGTCATGCACTTGACGAGCTGATCGGGAGACCAACGAAAACACCCTGAAGCTCCAAGGACATGCAGGATGCCGGTTCTGCTTCAACACATGAACGCATGCATTGCCGTGGTTTGCTTTCATGCTGTGTCATTGGAGTATCATGCGTCTTTCCTTGGGTCGGGAGATGGCCATGTCTTGCTTGGCAAACCCTCGCGCTAAGGCTGCCGGAAGGCAGCTTTTCGAGGTCTCAGGGCAGAAAACGCAAGGAAAGTGCGCAGGCGCTAGTTGAGACAAATCGCACAAACTCGCCAGCACATGGCCGCTAGGAACCAAAATTCCCTTCTGTTTCCCTTCAAAACCAGCAACGAAAGGCTGGAGTCCCTGTAAAAACATCCAAAAAGGGCCACTTCTAGCTGGGATTTGGTTTGGTTTTGGGTGAAAAAATGGGCAACCCCAAAAGTGGGTTGCCCTGGTTTTTCTGGAAACCTGCAGTCCATATCCTAGTGGTTAAAAATTATGACCCGTACCTTCCCTCAAAAAAGCCCGGCGGAGGTTTGTCCGATACCTCCGGGAAGTTGGGGGCCCAAGCTGGCCGTGGCGCTGAGGCTCGCCTCTACGTTGCCCACCACCTGACTCGACGATTAAATTTTCGCCGATCAGCTTGGTTGAAGCGTTGAATGGGGTCATACCCCCTTCCCATTAGAAAGCGAGGATTAAATGTTCGATGAGGCCAGGAGCTTGAAGGGTGCAATGAGTCATACCCTCCTTCCATTGATTTCATTAAAAATTGGAAGAAGGGGTTCGGAAGACTGCGTTCCTTCAGGGCCAGCCATTTCTTCCACTGGTAATGAGTCACACAATTTGGAGTCACGGATCTCTGCAACGCAACCTAGAATCGCGCCGAGCACTTGTTCCCGAGAGCAAATCGTGCTGGTGGCGAATGCCACTTCCCAGCTTGGACATGATTTGAGGAAAGCCCCCTGCCTGTTTCCATGATCTCGTAATTAAAAAAAAAACAGAAAAAAGGGGAAAAAAAAACAAGGGACACAGCCTTTCCATACTCAACTGATACTCAATACTCAAGTGGTACAAAAAGTTCTGAGAGAGCTTGCTCAATATGCCAGTAGAGTATTTGAGGTGGTACTCAATCTACTCAAAAGTTGAGTAGAGCATTGATGCTGTACTCAATCTACTGAACAATTGTGTTGAGCACTTAGGACATACTCAACTAGTACTCAACACTTGGGTAGAATATTCAAGGAGAACACATCAATCCATTCCTGTGTCAGATTTCATGCCCCTTCAGCAACTTAGGAAGCCACAAGAAAAACCAGGGATTTGTGTCAACCTTTCCTGGCACCAAATTGGTGGGAGGGTAAGGGGGGAGGCCTGTATTGTCCTGTGAAGCAATCAAATAGAACAAGGTCTGTTTCGATACGAACTGGAAAGCGTTTCCTGCCCTTTCGGATCTTCAAATCTGTGTTTGGATGTTCTCTGTGCTTTTGCACGTTAGCCACCTAATGATTGGTCGTTGCCAATCTAAACTCTAGAAGGGTGCGCATAATCGGGGTCCCCTGCTTTCCCTTTCAATACCAAACAAAATGGAACTTTTTGGGAGAAACTCGGTCCCCGGCTTTTCTTGGCCCGCCATTCCCGAAAACCCCGACCTTTCTTGGCCAGAAAAACCCATCGGGACCCGAGGCCCCAGGCCCGCTCGTTGGGGTCGCCCCACACCGCGTAGACCTCCGCGTCTTTCGCGTCGACCATCAGCTGACGGTTGCCCTCCACGCCCTCCCAGCGCACCTCAAGTTGCAAACGTGGCCACCCCCCCCCCCCCCCACCCGGTTATGATGGACACTTCGGGTCTATGTTGCAGCCTAGAGCTTTTTGGGTATTGTCCTTTGTGGGCGCCAGGCTGCACAATACACTCTAAGATGTCCAATCCCCCCCATGAGAAGCAAAAAAAGGTTTGGGAGAAAAAATGTTTGTCCCAGGAGGTTGAACCATCTTTCTCTTCAACAACCTGCCGTTTTCCGGGGGGCGGGCGGTAATCCCGGCGCCTATGAAACTAAAACCCCGCTAGTGGGGCCCGAGTTCCCTTTGGTGTCCCTTCCAAACCGACCAGAGTTGATCTCCTCGGAAATGATATATCCATTGCAATGCTAACAACTTGGGAGCCTCGGACTGGTGGGACAGTCGATTCAGGAAGATAGCTTATGAAGATTCCCGCATGCGGCTAAGAGCCCGAGAAAAAAAGGCGATGAGGCTTGGGTTGGAACCGCGCTCCAACTCATTTTGCTTTGGTTCCATGCCTCCAACAAATGGGGGTGTCAATTTGTTTGGTGGACTCTTTTGGGGTTGGCTTAAAGGAACACCGAAGGGAAAGCCAAGCTATTTTGGGGAGAGGTCCCCTATGAAACAAAACACTCGGATTACCGCTTCTGGGGGGGGGGCAGACCATTTTTGCTATGTAGTCGAAGCAAGGACAACCCAGCGGTGGCCCCACTGCTTGGAAGCTAGTCTTTTGGCTGGTGGGAGAGAGGCACAAAAGCGCCCAAGAATCGGAGAAGACTTTGGGCAACCGAATGTTCAAGTGGCTCATGAGAATTCAACCCTGTAGGCAAGCCACTTGGGCAAGCGATCTAAGGTGTCCTGATTCAAAACCATCCCCAAACGACCCGTTTTGGCGTTTTGACCCGTTCCGCTGTGACAGGCTTTGATGCTGCCTTGGGGCTGACTTGAGTGTCAGGAGCACAGAGGCTTCCTTTCATGGTCAAATACACTCCTTTGGGCCATGGTGCATCTTGAAACTGGGGACAAATGGGTGGCTCACTGTCCCCTTCACCCAATCGGACTTCAGATCATTTCACTTCGGGTCATGGTCGAAGGGGCGCGCCCTCGAAGGAAGTCGCAGCCAATGCGCTCCGATTTCACTCTGCCGGGGATCTTTTGCGAGGAATTGTCTCGGAAACACCCTCTCAACTGTTGCGGTTTGGGGCCGTGGCTAGGTTGGATGGTTTCCCCTTTACCCTCTACACAGTCAGGGCTTCAAGTCCAAATCCCCAAACCACTCCAGACCACCAAAGGGTTACCTTAAGCAGTATGTCCACCCGCGCACCTAAGGCGAGCACTGGAGCCTTCTTGTCATCGCGCTTCACCTTGGATCGGACTGCTACTCTTGGGCTGCATCATCCCGAGCAAGCGGAAAAAAGAAAGAGGTGCTAGGTCAACATTAGGGTTCCTTCCCTGACTCACTGACAAGTGAACATATTTAGATAATATACACACGTGTATGTGTATATATAAATATAGATAGATAGATAGATAGATAGATAAAATATATATATATATATAAGCAGGTCGCAACCCTTCCCCTAAATTAATTGGTGTTGACTGAATAGCCCTTCCACATCGCACGGTGCCATAAAGCCAATCTCACCTTGAAAAACCAACTGCTCCACGTACGTTTTTCGACACAGAGAGAGAGAGAGAGAGAGAGACATGTTTCGATCAAAATGTTCGCTTGCTTTGACCCCGTATCAAATTGACGATGCAAGCTGCATGTTGCAAGGACTGTTGCAAATTTGTGGCTTCAAAGAACCATGGTACAGGGGCTGGATTCTCTTGTAAAAAATGTGGCAACCACGTAGCGGATTCCAACAAACCTGCCACTTTTGAACGCAATGGGAAATTGAGGGACCGGTCCCCGTGGAGTGAATTTAAAAGGGAAGCAAAAAGGAAACCACCGGCTTGTGGGGTGTCCTATTTGGGTGTGTCCTTCTTTGAGGGTACTAAATTTCTAAATTCGGGATCCTTCGACCCAACTCTGCGCGATCGTCCTGATTGCCGCTGCATTATTTTTTGGTTTGAAGCCTTCTATCTTGCCGAGAATTTGAGAAGGGCAACATGTTTCGTTCCGGCTGGCGATGGTATGTGAAGCCGGCAAGCGTCTACACATTGTGCCTTCGTGTCTTTCAAGCCTTACAGGTCTGTTCGAGGTGTCAGCCTATGAGCATCCATTCATCCAGACCCGCTGTTCCTAACAGCCCACCACAGCAAAGCGAGCAAGTTTGTCGTAAGTCTTTCCTTTGGCCATCTTGCAACAGCCATCGTCTCACACCGTTAATAGTCCAAGCGTCAGGATGTCTTCGACCCTGAAAAGTGCCCGGGAAGGGATAAGATGTCCTTCCTGGAACTGTTACACATTCCATTCACATCCTCGCGATGTAAACAAGGTGAACGAAACTATGATACATTCGAGACATGATGCAGAGAAGCTGCTGGAGAATGTGATTCGTGCGCCAATCCCAAGTCCCGAATCCCGAATCCCGAGTCCCGAAGTCCCGAATCCCGAATCCCGAATCCTGAATCCCGAATCCCGAATCCCGAATCCAAGGATGGGGCCTTCCCAGTCGAATCCCGAGTGTGAGGATTGGGCTTTCCCGGCCCCGACTCCCGAATCCCGAATTTCGAATCCGAGGATGGGGCCTTCCCAGCCCCGAATCCCGAATCCTTCCCAGTCGCGAATCCCGAATCTCGAGCCTGGAATCCCCCCGAACTCGAACACATGCACCGGGATCATTTTCGATCACATCCACGGATCATATTTGAACACATGGGGGAGATGGGGGGCGTTTAGCAGTTTCTGATATCTCAGAACAAAACCTGATATCTGATGGATCCCACTCTACTGGAATTTAATAACACCTTAAAATTCTCACAAGGTTGCAGAAAGGTCAAGTGCTTGGTTTTCAGGGGATGGGGAGGGTGGGGGTCACGTGCCTCAAGGGCAGCTCATAGTAGCACGTGCAAACTTGGAGTCACAGGAGCCATCATCGCGTGCAGGGGTTTGGTGGGGGGGGGTACCAAATGTTTCTATCACACATGCGCGCTTTGCGCAATCAGGGCCAAAAAGTTGGCTTGATTCCATCCGGCAAAGAACAAAAACTATGGTGCGAAATGCCCAAGCAAAGAAGAGGTACTACACCCCCTGATCCTTTCTCTGCCGTGGCGGGCCCAAACGGGCTACGCTAGGACACACGCCAAACAAAAACAATCCAAAGATCCAACGGAGGCCAGCTCCAGCAACTCGGATTCGACTCAAATGCCAACTCACCTGACGCTTTCTGACAACTCTATCCTGTGCTCGGAACAAAAAATGGCAATCCGAAACCTGACCAAGGTTTAGGAACCTAACAGAGCACAAACTGTGGTTTCTCCCAATTCGTTGGTTTCAAGCAGCGGTTGCCTTTCCCACCAGGTTATTGAGAACCATGCTGTTTGCCACCTTTCTGGTTGAACATCTGTTCTCCAACTTTTGGCTCGGAGGTTTGAAGCAACGCAGGCAAAACCAGGAGACAGGGTCGATGCACAACGCTGCCCGAACAACTTGGGCAACCTGACAGCTGAGGGGCGACAAAAAGAAGGAGCATTATCTGCCTTCAATTCAAACACTCCACGCGCCAAGGGCCAAAAGGCCTAGGACAGGTTGGAAGCAGGGTCGGAGGTCTCCGCCCCAAGAAACCTTGCTCCCTCAGCTGGGAAAGGGTCCGCACTTTCACCCCGCGGCTGTGACAGTCTCGGCGTCAGCACATTGGCTGCGGCCGCCCCGCGGTTGGCGCGTCGGAGGGGGCAAGCGAATAGCGTGGAAGCATGTGAAAGCCCAAAACCAAACAGAGCCCTGTCTTGAACGGAAGCACATGTCCCTGTTTCGCAATGGGGGCATTGGCTCTGTCAGCGGTGTCTCCTCCAAGTTGGGGGGACCTGAGAAACGATGACTATCTTGCACATGTCGCTTCAACTCTTGTTGATTCACGGAGGCGCACATCTGCAAAGCTGGAAGTTTCACGTGTAACAACGAATCGCTCCAGAGCGATGGATTGCAACCATAAGAGGTACACCTTTTCACCACACGTGAGATTCTTGCGCTGTGAGGTGTGGTGTTGCTTTTAGCACGAGTGAAAACTGCGACAAATGGCTCGGCGACGCGTGGCCTGAAGGTGTTGGGCCTCAGACGCGAAGCTCTGCTGCCTGAAGGTGTTGGCCCCGAGGACATGAAGCAACCCCTCCAAGACGACGGAGAGCGCCCCTCATTTATTCAACCCACCAACCAACCAACCAACCAACCAACCAACCAACCAACCAACCAACCAACCAACCAACCAACCAACCAACCAACCAACCAACCAACCAACCAACCAACCAACCAACCAACCAACCAACCAACAACCAACAACAACAACAACCAACAACAACAACCAACAACAACAACCAAACAAACAACAACAACAACAACAACAACAACAACAACAACAACAACAACAACAACAACAACAACAACAACAACAACAACAACAACAACAACAACAACAACAACAACAACAACAACAACAACAACAACAACAACAACCACCACGACGACGACGACGACGACTACGACGACGACGACAAGGACAAGGACGACAAGGACGACAAGGACGACAAGGACGACAAGGACGACAAGGACGACAAGGACGACAAGGACGACAAGGACGACAAGGACGACAAGGACGACAAGGACGACAACGACGACGACGACGACGACGACCACGACCACGACCACGACCACGACCACGACCACGACCGCGACCACGACCACGACCACGACCACGACCACGACCACGACCACGACCACGACCACGACCACGACCACGACCACGACAACGACAACGACAACGACAACGACAACGACAACGACAACGACAACGACAACGACAACGACAACGACACGACAACGACAACGACAACGACAACGACAACACACAACGACACGACAACGACACAACAACAACCACAACAACAACAACAACAACAACAACAACAACAACAACAACAACAACAACAACAACAACAACAACAACAACAACAACAACAACAACAACAACAACAACAACAACAACAACAACAACAACAACAACAACAACAACAACAACACAGCAGCAGCAGCAGCAACAACAACAACAACCACGCCCAAACTCAAACTCATCTACATCGCTTGGTACAAAAACCCATCTCCAGACACTTCCACGCAGTGGGGGAGTGCTGAGAGGGCGGAAGTTGACAAATATAAGGACATTTACGGGGCCCTAAACAAGACCCAGTTTGCGATATAGTACTGAATCAGATGGGAGAACTTAGAAACAGCAATACAGAACCAACTGGATGCAGCAATGCTAAATCAAATTGGAACTCAAACTCCAAAATATTAAAAGCAAATGGAAACTAAACCCCGCAATACAAATCGACTGGAAACCCAAATCCAGCAATACTAAATCAAATGGCGGCTCAAATTCTCAATTCGAATCTCAGCAGGCAGCTCTAGCAAAACATACTAGTCAGTACGAAACATATTTGATTTGGTCGGGGTTGATGGTTGAGGTGGTGACTAGGAGCTTCAAGCCCTGGTCTGCACCGTGACATGCCTTGCTATCACTTGCATCCCGCAGAACTCTTGAAACGCGCCATCGTCCTGCTGTTTCCAAGCCGCTAATGGAGTTGGAAGATGTCTTGGATGCCTTGTACACCACTGTTGCTCGCAGCTATTTGGGCTCATCCTCGAAGAAGCGCATCTCGCGCTGCTTGGCGTTAGGTACCTCTGGAGGATCATTGCAAGCTGCATGCTTGCCTTGGTCCAGCAGTGCAGGCTGCACAGCATGCAGGTCGTGACTCCACCTGCACCGACCACAGCCTGGCCCTCCTTCTCGCCAAACTCCACCTTCCCAAGCTTTGTGGAGCCTCTGCCAACATTTCTTCAGCACCCCCCTCAGTGGCTCTGTCCTTCTAGAGTCAGGGTTCAGCAGCACTCCCTGCTGGTCAAAAATGCAAGTTCTTGCACTTCTGGCCCCTCTTGCAGGCTCCCCTACAATTGAAGAAGCTGCACATAGCGACATTGCACCTCAAGGGCTCCATGCTGCTGCAAAGGGCAATGTTGACAACTTTCGTTGCATGCAAACGGCATATTAGAGTAGAGACCTGGATTGTTATTTGCTTGGGTTTCTTGGGCATCTGTTCGTGGCTGGAAACAACCAACGGCCTGGTTGGAATCGAATCCATGAGTTTTGGGCATGGGCCCCGATAGGAAGCTAGGGATTGCGTTCAAAAACGAGAACTTGCCCGCATTCCAAAAACGAGCCGAAACACGCGTTCAAAAACAAGGTGCTTTCCAGCCAAAGACGGGGTCTTCCCAGAAATCCCGAATCCCGAATCCCGAGTCCGAGGATGGGGCTTTCCCAGTCCCGAATCCCGAATCCCGAATTCCGAATCCCGAATCTGAGGATGGGGCCTTCCGAGTCCCGAATCCCGAATCCCGAATCTGAGGATGGGGCCTTCCGAGTCCCGAATCCCGAATCCCGAATTCCGAATCCCGAGTCCTGAATCCCGAGTCCCGAATCCCGAATCCGGAAAATGTGATTTAATCCTGAAATGTGATTAAATCCTGAATCTCGAAACTGCGCACGACCTCCGGATCACCACTCATACATTCACATCTCCTACTGGGGATTTGTGTATGATTTTCTCGTACGCGGGGAGGGTCGATCATGATTCACCTCGGTTGCCCTCATTGGACACTACTTGCTCCGAGAGGCAAGTCAAAACATGCAAGGCCAGTATGCAAGTTTGAGGCCTTGGTCTCCTATTTGACCCACCTTTAAGTTGCTGTGAAACATAGCACCCATCTTGACACCCATCATGGTAAGTTAACCGACAACAGTTGAGTTGAAGCCGTGACAGCAAAAGGTTGATCTCCCGTTCAACTCACCAACAAGTTGCAGTGAAACACGGCTGTCAAGTTGAGGCGCCCTTTGCGAGCAAGCCATGTTTTTCTCATGCGCATCATGCAAGCACATGGACCGACCAACAAGTTACTAGACACAAGGACCTGAAAATACACGGTTGGGCTTTTGTTGGAACGAAACAGGAAAACCACAAGGTCAAAAGGTCGATTCGTTTTCAGCTGAAATAAGCTAATTGGACCATCCAAGGTGCAATGAACTTGTACTCCACCTTGCCCGCCGCGATGGGCAGTGGCTGAGTAGACCACAAGGGGAACTCCTCGGCTGGCTCTTTGTGCTGGGGTGCCCCAAAATTGAGTTGGCTGCTCCCCCGCAAATTCAGGAGATTCCTCATGCTGGTGCTGGGGGTTCCATATGCCAACCTGCAGAGTGAAAGGATAATCAAAAGGACAATCAATTTTTAGGGCTCCCTATTTTGAGTCACACATATGCTGTCGGTTGCTACGCATGAAGGCTAGCAGTCGATTCAAGGGACTCCGGTGAATGGCACGGTGCCTTTTGACCAGCAAACTGACTGTCGTGGCGTCCATTTAGAACGGGTGGAAACGGTGCACCACCAGGAATTCTCAGAAAACCCCGAGTCAGCCTTGCGACCCTCTGGTCGAAGCATATGAACCAGCATTCTCAAGACTTCCTTCTTCAGAGTTCTGGAGTCATGATGAAATCTTTAAGTTCTGGGTTTCGGAATCCCCGGCAACGACGCGTTTCTCCCGTATCAACTGCTTCTGGAGCCAGTTGGTTCCCGAACTGAACAGCATGGAGCCCTTCTGGCTCAGAAGCCTCAGATGCAAGAGGCAGATGCTCCACGGAAATTTGGCGCCAAGCAAAAAACAAGGAGCCGTTCACCGACTGATCCAACCTCTTTGGCCATCCGCGAACAGCTCGGAGGAAAAAACCTACTGAGATCTAGAGCGGATACAGAAGATGGCTCCCTCACAAGACAGCTGCCTCTCTTGTGACTCAAACGCAAAGAAACATCGACATTGCCCTCAAAAGCTCAACGGATGCATTCACGCCGAATCCATTCGGTGCCGTTTGCCCCCCAAAAAGAAAACACCACCCTTCAAGTTCCCCAAGTTCTCCAAACTCCATGCAATCAGTCAGCCCAACGTGCCTTGCCCTGAGCCCTTCCGATTTCCATTTTTCCGCCCTTGACCCCTGAGCCTTCCACCCCCCCCCCCAAAGGCCCGGCCTGGGCGTTGGTGGTCAACGGCACCGCGGCCTCCGGGGACCAAGAGCCCAGCTTGGGGGCGCCCCCCACCACGTAGACCTCCGCGGCAAAGAGCGCGGCGCCCCAAAAAAGACTCGGAGGCGGGTGCCGTGGGCGAGGAGAAAGGGGAAGGAACTGATGAATTGATGAATTGATGAACTGATGAATTGATGAATCGATGAATCGATGAATCGATGAACGAGTTAAGTGAAGAAACTAATATGATGAAACGAAGAAAGGGGGGAACAAGAAGCTCGCCGGGGTCCCCTGCCTGCCATCCGCGGTCAATGAAGGGTTGGATCTAGAATGGATGAACCTGAAACTGGAAAACTGAAACAGCATGCAGTGGCTCTGAGTTCAATCGATGCTCCCTCTCGTTTTGAAAGTCGTGGGCTTGAAAGGAGAGAAGCATTAAAAACGCTGAACCCAGGTACGCAACCATCCATCCTGTGAACAACTGCCATGCTTGCGTCATGCTCTCTCCCAAAGCAAAAGCGGCGCCGGAGCCAAGGGAATTCTTGATGGCCTTGTGGAAGCTGACAGATTATAATTTGGCTGTGGGTCAAACCCCTGATTTTTTGGTGAACATCAAAATAGGTGGCAAATGGATGTTCCACCCCAAAATGGCTCGCCATGGGTTCTGCAACCCATGGCCATTTCGGAAGACAGCTCTCTTGCAAAGGCCTGCGGTTTGCAGCCGCGTCCCTGGGATTCTAGCTGTCTCTCTGGAAAGGACTCCTGAAAAGAATGTAAGGGTAGCGCTTGGTGTGGAAAATCAAACGCGTCGTGTTCAGCTTCCTTCTGGGAAACCAAACGGAATTTTTGGAATCAAGCATGGATTCTTCCCCAGAAACTCGTCCATTTCTCCGCTCGGGGCCAGGTCGGTCAGATCAAAGCCACCATCCAAACCACCGCGATTCACCAGGAATTTGTCCATTTACCCGACAGCTGAAATCCCAAACCACCCAGATAGCCAAGTTGCTGCTTTTTTCAGTCACTGTTCCTGGTTTTTGGGGTAAAACGCATGGGAATAAACGATCGCAACTGGCGATCCAGGCAGCCACCAACCAAATTCCACGTACACAAACCCCTCGCCGCTCGGCTTGGCGAGAAGCCCCGAGGAGCCAGCCGCGAGCGCGGAAGCGCTTCCGCGCCTTCTCCCCGGGCTGCGTGTTCTGGCACCGCACCCGGAAGATCACGTGGGCGGACATGGATCCAATCCGCGCGAAGCGGGGGGGGGGAGGGAGGGGGAGGGTTTTGGGGAGGGTTTCGCGGAGAAATGGCGCTGCCTGGGGACTGAAGAGTGGTAAATTGATGCCCTGTAACAAACCCTGCTACAACTTAAGGGAGAATCGCAAGGGATTCAACGCATTTGTACAATGCCAAGTTGTTTTGTGCTCTAGCTCATCGTTCCTTCTGCCTCGCATGTCCACTGCTGACTGGTCTCTAACGCCTAGCGCCAAGTACAAAGGCCGCGTTCTCATCACTTGCTCACCTTCGGACCGAAACGTTGAAACTTCCGGAAAGGAGCTGCGGAAATGGCGAGGATCGGCATCTCGGCGTCACGCGCGGTCAGCCTGAATGAAATAACCCAGAGCCCTCCTACCAGGATCCACTAGGCATCGTTTCTGGGACCCAGGGCGCAGGATTCACGGCCAGATCGGGATGGCAACCACTTCGCATCTCGGGTTGAGCACTTGAGGAAGCGTTCGCTATAAGTTTCTTCAATTCACATTCTTTTAAAGTGAGAATTCTAAAAATAACATCAATTTTTTAATCTTATATTTTTTCTGAGATCGATATTGTTCGAAGCTGACATTTTCACAAGATCTCTCCCGCAGACTCCGTTTCTGCGAACAATCGGCAGCCGATGTACGAGGGGAAACAAAAACTAATTGGCAAAGCCAGTGATGCAAACACAGATGCCATGAATGAGTCTGCGAAAACGCGAACACTTCAGTCACCAGGCTGCCCCTTGAAACATCAACTTTCGGTTCTGGCGGCGGAAGGTTGCTGATGAGAAAACATAGGATGAACACATCCACTGGCCTGTGGAAGGACAAGTCTGGCACCGCAAATTGCCAAACAACATGGGTGTGGCTCGAAATTACAGAGCTAGGGTTTCGCAGGTGTTTGTCTTTGTTTCCATATACCAAGGTGCCATTCTCGGTACCATTTTTTGAGCCATTTCGTGCAAACCGATCTGGCCCCATCGGACAGGGCCTCCCAGGCGCGAGGCCTTCCTGGGATGACGGAAATACCACAGGGCTGTTTCTCCAAAAAGACGACAAACAAGAGTGGTTCGGTTGCGTTCCGGCCCCGCATTGCAAGAACCAAAAGGAAAACACAATATTAATGAAAACAAAAGGCACTCCGGTCCGCCTACGGCAAGCAAGTACTTCTGTGCAGATTGACAAGAAAGCCATGTGTAGAGGAAACTCCTGGCAGGACCGCCTTGGGTTCCGCTGCCAGGCATCGGGACCTAAAGCAAAAGTCGTGTTCCCATGTTTCGTGCTTACGTGAGTCGCAAAGCCACTGAACCCCGAGCGGATGTTTTGTTTACACACAATGTGGCTATCGCTGCCAATGTGTAATGCCGCTACCAGTGCTGCCAATGATAGCAATGCCTGCAAGCAAGGGGCATGTAAAGATTTTGCAGATGTGAAAATGGCTAAATGAAGAAGGCCCAACAGGATCTAGCAGCCTTACGACTGATTCTCTTGACCATCTCGGAAAATCCCTCCCCCCCCCCCCCGTGCGAGGACCCTAAGAGTGCTATGTTGCAGCCAAGAAGCCTAAGAAACCAATACCCTAAACACAGTGTGGTTGCAACATAGACCCTAAGTGTCCATCATACACCCCTTCTGACCCCCCCCAACAATGTGGTTGCAACACAAACCTTGAGTGCCCATCATTCACCCCTTCTGACCCCCCACCCCCCCACTGACCCCAGCTTCCTTCCCCCCCCCCCCCCACATCGCCACGGCGCAGGAGCCGCAGCGCAGAAGCCATGGCGCCGTGATCGATTCGCCCAGCGAGCGCGTGGTGGACGTCGGCTAGGAGAACCCAAAAGAACAGCTTGGGTGAAGTGGTGTTTTGAGACCGGGTCCAACACAAAACTGAGGAAAATGTGCCTTCATGTTACAGGAAAAGACACCTTGACAAACTTGAACTTGTGCGAAGTGCTGCTTGCTCCAATGACAGAATCGTGCGTCTGAGAATTGGTGGGTTGCTGAAACAAACAACGTGTGGCAGCGCAAGCCATGCCTATGCAAGTCCTGCTGGAGACGTGGGCAAGGCGTAGTCGACCTCTCTGCGTGGCAGTGGAAACGAACATGCCCATGGGATTTTCCGGCCCCCGCAAAGAGAAAGACAGGTCGTCGAAAGGCTGCAAGCATCTTTGTCTCGCGCTGGCTGTCCCAGCAGCAAGGCCAACCCGCAGGAGCTGTCCACCCAAACCCTTTTTGACAATGCAAGCGGGCGATCGCCAGAAGGTCCACCAATGCCTCCGGCACATGGACCACGAACGCTTCACCCTGGAACATGCAGGGCATGCGAAACACAAGAACTGCAACGGTCTCGCGCAAACGGATTGCCGCGCGTTAGAGTTGGCCCTCCCGCTCTCCGAAAAACTGATGGTGGAATGATTTCGCAGGCTTCAAGATCCAGCAAGGACCCCTCACCAATTGTACAGGAATGGCCCGAACGGGACTGTCACTCCGGTTCTAGCCGCGCGAATCCTACGAAACGATCTACTTGGGTGAAACAAGACCAGAGGCGAAGGGCTAGCTCACAGATGCCAAAATGAGCTTGTCTTTTACTAGGCCGCAAAGAAATGTTGGTTGTCCTTCAGGCTTCCCTTCACTCCTAAATTTTCGGCCTGCCTGAGGTACCTTCGTGTGCGCACTGTGTCTTGGAAAACCTTCACTACCTCAGCTTGTGCCCCCAAACCAAACATGAATGTTTTGCATTCTGCAGTCTTTTTTTGAGGGTACCCTTTTGCGCTGGCTTTACAGGGAAACCCACAAAAAAACACCCATCTTGGGGCGCCCCTATTTTGAAACACACCTATTTAACGCACCTGAAAATGTGCTGAAATGAGAGCCTCGGATTCACGAATCCCATCCGCATCCGCGAGTCTGCCAATCGACCTCAGAACTCCTTGAAGCCGGGCATGGAGTCGTCGACCTCCCCCAGCGCCTCGCAGCTGACCCTCCACTCGGGCACATTTCCCTTAAGCCCTAAACGATAATCAAGTGGCTGTGGGTCAAAACCAATGGGATCCCATTTTGGGGTAGGTAGGTGAATTCACCACCCATCTTAGAACCTATTTTAGTGGTTGGATTGGGATGTTCACTGGGGGTACGGGATTTTGACCCATGGCCAAGTCTCATGGAAAGCACGCGAGACTCCACCAGCTCCACCAAATGTCATGGAAAACACATGCGGCAAGCATCATGGCACATGGTGCAAGACGCGCAAGCATTGCAAGCATGCAAGGGCACAAACAGCACATGACACAAAGACCGCATAATGAAACATGCAAAGCATGCAAGTGTGTAACCCGGACACGCGCAAAAGAATGGATACGGCGGATCATTATTATCATTATTTGTTTAAACCAAAAAAATACTGAAGAACACACGTGGTTGTTGGATGCGTGGGAGGGGGGGTGCTGGACGTGCGGGACGTGCGGGACGTGCAGCACGCAAGAGACCGCGGCGTTCGCTTGGAGGTGGGACCGGCATGGTACGGATGCTCGGAGCGGTCCGACAGGCAGCAAGCTGCCTGTAATCCTGTTGCGAACACAAGATACCGTTGCCTTGACAAGCTTGGAGGTCACACATGCCTGCTTGCCACACTTAGTGCTACCCCAGGTTTCACATGGTCGATCCCGTTCCAATGCCAGTCTCACCTCCCCTGTTAAGATCGTGCCATTGCTGTTCAAGGAACCACAGCCGAAACTGGTTCAAAACTCCCCTCAACGGAGGCGCTCCCAGACTAGCCCCTGGCGAGCCAGGTGTGTTGATGGCACATGTTATTGGCGCCAATGTGTGATGCACAAATATTGTGCTGCTCACTCCGTTGCTGCCCTTTCTCAACAAAGAATCACTGCCGCTGCGTAGGAGCAACACGGCGAACTACAACAAAGACCTACTCTTGCGGCCTAGCCAGTGCAAGTGGACCAGGCGACAAGAAACAACCACCGCCGCACTCTTTCACATCCCTTCACCGTGCCTGGACGAGAAGTGGGTAGTCCCCCAACCCCTCCGTGGAAAAACAAAAAATCTTCCCGTCATGGCGACCATCTGCTCAGCGCCTCCCTCTCACGTGATCCCAAGATCCCAGGCCGGCCCGCCTTGCCCAGGCCGGGCAGGGTCCGGCCAGGTACCGGCAGCATCTGGCGGAAAGCTGGGTGGACTTGCAGCAAAACATGCCATGGCTGGACGACATGCGTCACTTGAAACTAGTTGAAAGAAACATCAGTGCCTGGAACGGTGACTTAAAGACATGTAACTACTTGGAGTCTTCATAGCCTCCTGGAACACACTCTTTTTTTCAGGGGCAGCCGATTCCTAAACCAAATACACCCTAAGCCGTGCCAACGGTGTCTTCACCCGACCGACGCCGCCACTCCGCCGCCTTTTTGCCCTTGAAGCCCAACGGGTTCAAGTTCTTCTCGTGGGTGTTGTTCCGGGCCTGGCCGGTTCCCCGCATCCGAGTGCCCCTTCGGGCCCTCCCCCACTCCCGGCTCCTTGTGCCAATGGAAGCAACCCTGAAGGGACCTCCCAATTTGGTGCTTGCCCCGTTTTCCCGGGGCTTCCGGCTACCACCATAGGTAACCACGGCATGACCTCACGAGAGGCAGAAGCTCTCTCAATGCATACACCAGAAGCCCAAAGCGTGCACGAGCCCTGGCTGAGAGAAGTTGGAACACCTCTTTTCTGATTGCCGTGTTCCGCTTACATCTTGGTTGACATTGGAAGGGGAGCAACAAATGGGGATTTCCCACTAAACCACAATAAGCAAACATGTTTTCCAACAACAAGCATGACATGGTCGTAGCGCTCACTCTACGCAGTTGCTCTACTCTAGGGCACTTTGCCGTGTACAAAAGCTGGCACGGAGCCAGCAGCCGGGCATTTGTCAAGGGCTTGGTGCTGCAAAATAGCAGCTCTGTGTGTTCATGGTATGGGAGGTACTACCCTAACAAATGAGTGAAGCTAAGCATGTGAAGCACGCTTTCACCCGAAGAAAGCAGCCACAAGCCAGAGGCCAACAAGTTTGTTCCAAAAAAACAAACAAACATATGCAGACAAATCCACAACAATACACCACAGCATCTGATCACAGAAGGGACCCCAATCAATGAGAGAGCTCGCTACATGTCCAGCATCTCAATGTACAACCACAAGCCCAAGGCTTCTCCCGCCTGGAGACCCACGTTGGGTGGGCTCTTCGTAGGCAGCATCGTTACCTTTGTGACCTTGGCTTCAGCTGCGGCGACCCCCGACCTTTGTCATCGGTTCGTTCCAGTGCTGAAATTTCCTCAGAAAGCCAGGGGAACAAGCACCGTGGGAGTGGTCTTCACGTTCAGTTGCCATGGCTTACGCCGAAGACCAGCAAGTCTACAAGCCAACCCGTGTCGAAGTAAGGTTGAGTGGCCAATTCACCCACCCCACATCTGTTTATTTGAATTCCGCAAGAAATGGCCTTTCCGTCCCGAACCTCAGGGCGCGCGGAAACGCCTCGTCATCCTCACCTACCCCCTTTGAAAGCAGAAATCAAAATAGTCTGGAAGTCCTGGCTCCGTGCAAGAAGTCCATGGCGTCATGGCCATGCTTCTTCTCCAAGGAACCTGGTGGTTCTCTGAATCCCCTAAACGCGCATGACCATCCCCTTCCAAGTAAAAGTAAGCAGGTTGTTTTGACCATGGCACATATTCCCTGTTCTTCGGGTGGAGAAAGAAGTGCGCCGAAGGACTCCACAAAGCACCAGAACGAAAATGATCGCCATAGCGCATGCGGCATAGATACAGGAAGGATCTATCAAGATGCCCGCCTTCTGGTCATGGAAGTGGCTTGCTTCGAACGTTCCATTCTTCTTTTGTCAGCTTCCCATGGGTGTTGGAGGGAGGCTGGAGGGGCTTACAAAGAAAATTTCCTGGCAATTGTGAGAGCCGAGAGAGGGTCCTTTTGCGCAAATGGTCATCTAGGAGACCCAAGTCGGCTTACACGTGTGATTCTTGAGGGATCTGCTGCACTGTTTGTCGAACTGCTGAATGCTCCGATTGCGCCTGTGTATTGGCAGATGTGTTTGTACTACTTGCAGCTTTTGTTCTCCGAGATGTCCAGCTTGGAGCGCGGTTAGTATTTGAACCCGGGAGGGCTTCAAGGGCCTACAAATGCTTTCTTGGGGCTCTGCAATGTTAACCCCGGATTAATAAACCCCTGGTTGATTAATAGGGGGGTGTCCCCGTTTAGTGGGGATTCATCACTTTTGGAGGGAGCACCCCCCTAATAGTGGGACGGGTTTATTAATCGTGGGTCAACATTAAGGGTCTCTGAGGCTTGTCCAGGAACCCTAGGGCTCTTTCATGCTTCCATCGGCAGCAAGCCCACTCCCCGACTCCCCGAGTCTCCTGCGAGAAGGCCCGGACTTGGCTTGCTCTACCGTCATTTAGCCAAACAGGTTCTACGTAAATCACCGCCTGCCAAAATCTGAGCCCATCGATCTCGGGGTTTTGGAACGGAGAACTCTCCGCCCGGCGCTCGGCGCGGCGAGGAAGCATTCGATGCCTGCTCAGGGTCCCGGCCCGGCCGTGGAGGTCCACCACCGGGAAGAGCGTGCGCCGGGGCCCCAGCGCCTGACAGCTGCCGAAGGCCAAGAGCTACATGGCTCGTCTTTCTTGAGGAATTGTTCCTTTTTGGTTTCCAAAACCAAAACACTGGTACCCCCCCCCCCCCAAAAAAAAAAAACAACGTCTTGGCCATTCAAAAAGCCCATCCCCAGTTTGAGATATGGGTCTGTGTCAACGTTCCCGGCTCTGGAAGCTTTTGGCATGGGTGTGCTTCGGAGAACCCATGTGTATGTGGCGCGCTGAGTTCCAAAATGACCTGCAAACAGCTTGAGACGACTCCATGGAGTCTGGTCAGTTCAGGGATCCTTACATTATACACCTGAACATTACCTTGCAAATGGTGGTTTCCCTTTATTTTGGTGGCAAAGCCATGTTTCAAACGGGCAGAATGTATCTTTTAAGGAGCCCTGTTCAACCATGGAGCCTAACCTTTGCCCGGATGCCCAGCCACATCCCGTGGCCGAACCTTCCAGATTGCAGCTCGCTCAAACCGCGTGCCCCAGGCCCCTCGTGCTGTATGGCGGCGCCAGCCCGAAAGCTTCCGAAAATGTTGATGGCCCGTTGGTCCTCAGCAAAGCCGCAGACCCGGCTGAAGGGAACCTGGAAAAGTGGCCATCGGCTCAATGAAAGCCACCCGTGACATCGAACAGCTGATGTGGGGAAATCCACTGGGCTGTTCCCAGATCCGCTTTGAGTTTGTAAGTTCTCGTGGTTTACTGGGAAACTGCCAGCCAAAAACCAAGCAATTAAACACCACCGAGGGCAAGGAATCGGAGGATTCGCTGGTCCCGTGACTCCCCGAAACTAAACACTACTAAAAAGCCACCAAAAAAACACACAAAAAAACCACGAACAAAAAAACCACCAAGCCCCCTGAACCCTGAATCAACCCCCCCCCACGAAAACCCCCCTTCTCCACGACTCCCCGACTCCCCAACTCCCCGAGTCCTTCCGCGCCTTGCGCCTGGGGTGGGGCTCCTTGCGGTTCCCCTCCGTCAGGCTGCTGGCCACCCGCAGCACCTGGCTCCGAGCGGAGCCTTCGGCCCCCAGCGGCGGGTTTGGCAGGCGCCTTCGCCCCGTGCTTTGGGACCCCGTGGCTTGGGTGGTGAAGGGAAACCGAAGAAAAAAAAAAGAAATTAAAGGACCGGATAACCCCACATGCTATGTTTTTGCCAAGGATGTGAGCTCAAATGTCCACACACATGTACCGTGCGCCCCTTGTATGGATGCGATTACAGAGCAGGTCTAGCGCGCTCTTTTCATCGCAGGCGTTGCTAACCTACTGCAGCCCGAGCCGCTAATCAACAAAACAAAGCAAGTTCGAGACATTCTCGAACTTAGTCCATCTTGTTAGATTATTGGCTGCGCCGCACGTGCATCTCAGGAGGTCATCTTGCAGCTCAGCATCGGAGAAGATCTGGACACTTTCCCAAAGAGAAATAGCACTGTGGTATCCGTTGGACGATGAAGTCAAGCTTTTTCAGTCAGATGTCCATCTCAAGGCTTCTCCGCGGGGAACCTGCAGGGCCTGCCTTCCTGAAAGGTTCCAATGAAGGTGCGCGCTGCGGCTGGAATGTCGACAGAACGCGGACCGCTCCGCCTACATTGTGAATCCATCAGCAGCGCCGAGGGCTTGGCAGGGCAGCCGTGGAGCAGCTTATCCAACTTGGAGCAGCTCATCCACGACTTCGGCAATGGCATCTCCACACCCAGATGCACAGAATGCAGCGCCTGCCACGACTTCGGCAACGGCATCGCCAAAGTGCTGCGCCTGCCACGATTTCGCACGCCCCCCGCCGCGCGCGCTGCGCCTGCCACGATTTCGCACGCCCCCCGCCGCGCGCGCGACAACATCCTGTCCCGTTAGACAGCTGCCGAACGCTGCGCCTGCCACGATTTCGCACGCCCCCCGCCGCGCGCGCGACAACATCCTGTCCTTTTAGACAGCTGCCAAATGCTGCCCCTGCCACACAAACACACACCCAGATGCACAGAATGCTGCGCCTGCCACGACTTCGGCAACGGCATCGCCAAAGTGCTGCGCCTGCCACGATTTCGCACGCCCCCCGCCGCGCGCGCGACAACATCCTGTCCCGTTAGACAGCTGCCGAACGCTGCGCCTGCCACGATTTCGCACGCCCCCCGCCGCGCGCGCGACAACATCCTGTCCCTCTAGACAGCTGCCGAAATGCTACCCCTGCCACACAAACACACACCCAGATGCACAGAATGCTGCGCCTGCCACGACTTCGGCAACGGCATCGCCAAAGTGCTGCGCCTGCCACGATTTCGCACACCCCCCGCCGCGCGCGCGACAACATCCTGTCCCTCTAGACAGCTGCCGAATGCGACCCCTGCCACACAAACACACACCCAGATGCACAGAATGCTGCGCCTGCCACGACTTCGGCAACGGCATCGCTGCGCCTGCCACGATTTCGCAACGGCATCGCCAAAGTGCTGCGCCTGCCACGATTTCGCACACCCCCCGCCGCGCGCGCGACAACATCCTGTCCCTCTAGACAGCTGCCGAATGCGACCCCTGCCACACAAACACACACCCAGATGCACAGAATGCTGCGCCTGCCACGACTTCGGCAACGGCATCGCCAAAGTGCTGCGCCTGCCACGATTTCGCACACCCCCCGCCACGATTTCGCGCCCCCCGCCGCGCGCGCGCAACATCCTGTCCCTCTAGACAGCTGCCGAATGCGACCCCTGCCACACAAACACACACCCAGATGCACAGAATGCTGCGCCTGCCACGACTTCGGCAACGGCATCGCCAAAGTGCTGCGCCTGCCACGATTTCGTTGCTTGCCACGATTTCGCGCCGCGCGCGCGACAACATCCTGTCCCTCTAGACAGCTGCCGTGAGTCAGCGAGTGTGAGTGAGTGAGTGAGCGAGTGAGTGAGTGAGTGAGTGAATGAGAGTGAGTGAATGAGAGTGAGTGTGAGTGAGTGAGTGTGAGTGAGCGTGAGTGAGTGAGTGAGTGAGTGAGTGAGTGTGAGTGAGTGAGTGTGAGTGAGTGTGAGTGAGAGTGAGTGAGTGAGTGTGAGTGAGTGAGTGAGTGAGTGAGTGAGTGAGTGAGTGAGTGAGTGAGTGAGTGAGTGAGTGAGTGAGAGTGAGTGAGTGAGTGAGTGAGTGAGTGAGTGAGTGAGACAGTGATGAGGAGGGAGGGCGGGAGGAGGAGGAGAAGGAGACGCGGCGCGCGGACGACGAGCGGTAAAAGTAAGAACCGCACACAAAGATGTGGGGAAAAAAAGGAAAGGAAAAAGGCACGTGTGTTTTGTCTCTAAAAATTGGCACGCCCAGGTTGCCGCTTGGAGCCCTGAAGGGAGACGGGAAAAAACGGTTTGGAAGGGAAACCAAAGGGCCGACAGCAACGCGTCCAACAAAACCCGCAAGAAAGAGGCGTGACAAGAAAGAAAACGGAAATGCAAAACGGCAGAAAAATTAAGACCAGGCTGAACTGGGTCCAGTGTCCCAGACCACCACAAAGAGCACGAACTCTGACAAAGTGGCGGTTGCTTTGGCCCACAACTTCTGTCTTTCGCAAATTGCTTCCGGGCGTGTCTCCCAAATGGGCGGTCCTTTTTCCCGACCAAATCCACCAAGGGCACCAGCTCACCACCCAGAAATCCGCGGGGAAGCTGGTGGACCGGGTTTCCAAATGGAAAAGGACGTGGGGAAAAACCCCCGGAGCAACTGGGGTCCCCCTGGCTCTTGTGGGTACTGTGAGTGGTGGTTTCCATGGTCTCACCCAAAACAACAGTCTAGACCGCCAAGAACATTCGGACTCAGTCGGGTTGTATCTTGTCGTTTGTTGTGAATGGGAATACCCCCCCTTCCAATCAGGGAAGCGGACCGGGGGCTTTTCGAGGAAAGGCGTCTTTCAAAAACATAAGCGTCTTTTGGAAAAAATAGATGGCAGATTCTGAAGCACCCAGGTCAACCAGGAATCGCCGTCTGTCTAAGCGACCAAAACCGCCGCCGATGTTCAAAACCATCCCAAAGGCGCTCGACTCCTTTTGCGGCGCCTGGACCTCATTGACGTACACCACGAGGTCCCCGTGGGGATTCACCAGCAGCCCAACCTCGGAGCCACCGAACCGTTGCTTCAACAAATATGGGTACCCGTCTTTGAGGCTACCCCGTCTCGCGGCTTAGGGAAACCAAAAGGAAAAGACCGCCAGGTTCCTATTTCCCAATCCTGAAACACGACACATCCATCTAAAAACCCACACAATGTGTAGTTTCCCCTTGGCTTTCACCCCAACTCCTCAAACAAGACACAGCCACCGGAGATGCCCAGGCCGCAAGATGGGCCTGTGTCCATCTCCAAGTGACCACAACCCATCAGTCTGTGGAACATTTGTTGGATGCGCGTTTTGTGGATTTCACCTGTTTTTCTCCCCCCTTTTTGTGGAGTTCACCTGTTTCCCCCCCCCCCCTCTTGGCTCTTTCTGAAGTTATCTTTTAGTTCTCTTCGAATATCCTGGGTGGATCCACAACAGCCACATCCAATCTGATTTCAGAATTCGGGTTGCAAGGGTTTATATGGGGTTCGCTCTGTTTCGAGGAACCCCCCCCAAATCAGTGGTTTACCTCTGGTTTCCCCGTAGACCAAGTCCAGACGGGGTACCCGCAAAAAACAGGACAGATCCATACTAGGCCTTACTATAAAACCCTATAAAGCCAGACGGCAGATCCCCTTTCTCAAATCGCGAACGGGGATTTGGGCGCTTGGTTGGGCCACAAGGATCCGCTCACGGCAACATGTCCTTTTATTTCACCTACTGCTGGAAATGATTGGCACTCCGAATTCCCCTTCAATACCTCATGTTTCGCTTGGGGAAATGAGTGGAATTCCCGTTCAATGCCTGACACGAACTGCAGGGAAATGCGGCGGGACTCCCCTTCAAATGCCTGATGTCCCACTTACCTGTGTTCCACCAGCTGGGTACTGGAATTCCCCGACGCATACCTTGTGTTTGGACGGCCCAGTCATTTGTAAGGGAAACATCCCTTACAACCCCACTGTCCCACATGGACAATCCCTACAACCCATCTTCAAACAATCATGGCCTTATGCACACGCGCACTTTTGCTCTCTCTATACATATACATACGGAAATAGCCAGTGTTTCTTTGCAGCTTTGTACACCCATTTGCCGTTTTCAACCTGGGAAGTGTTTCAGCCCAAGACCTCTTCGACTCGACTCCGGTGGGTCTTCGCGCCCCTTGGCTCGGCCCCCGGGCCACGTCGTTCACCTCCAGAGCCTTCGGATCCCAGGCCTTCTGCGTGCACCACTCCCCGCCTGGTGCGAGCTTTCCGGGGGTCGGACACCCACCAAGAACCTCCCAATGGGTGCGCCCTTCGGTTTTTTTGGCGCCTCGGTACCCCCCTTTTTTTGCGGGAAGCCAAAAGGAAAGTCAGACAAAAAGTTGGGCGCCAACCTGGTTTGACACATACCCAGATGGTGTCCAAACGTAAATTTCAGGCCCCCCGATTGCCCAGCTCACCAAACAGCAGGCCACAAAAAAAAGGCGAACCCAAAAAAGTAAAGAATCACGTATCAGGAACAATGTGACTTGCTCATATCTACGGGCTGAGTTTCCAACTCGAAAAAGGCGTTGGATTCCAACGAATCGCCGGTGTTCCTTGTAACCGGGGGGCGGAACGGCGGATCGATGCCCTGGCCAAACTCACTGAGACGCAGGCCGTCAACCACGTGCATGCCATAGCCAATAAGGATGCTGCCTCGAGGGACACGGATTTGCACACGTGGGATTTGGGCTGGTGAATGGGAAGCCGCAGCTCAGTCTCAAAATTATATATATATATATACACAGATACAAACATATCATTATATATATATATGTATATATATATAGATGGTCCCGTGATGAGTGATTACGGTCCCCCCCCCCCACCCCCCTATGGTATGGGTGGGGGGCTGGGGTGGGGGGGGGGTCCGTTCAAAATGGTTGGCCGTATCCCTCGTTTGCTGGCAGGGCCGTCATTTTGGAGCTCAGGTTGCGTAATCGACCCTCTGCGGACTTTCGCGCGGTCCTCTCGCTGTGGCGCGAGCGTTGCCGAGCCAATGGGATTTGTTCTCAAATGCTTCTCACCCCGCGCTCCCGCGCAACTCGCCTTCTCAGCCCTGCTTCTTCCTATTAAAACTCCTTTTAAAAAAACTATTGCCGGACCTTTGTTCCTCCAGATCCAAGCTCGGGTGACCCTTAACACTTGTTTCTACATCACTTTATAAACCGTAAAGGAAAGAACGTCTAGATTGGGTCCCCGATGCTTGCAATAGAAGCCACCCACCATGATGCATAACCCGTTAGGGTTCCCCGAAAATGCACGATGCTTGCAATAGAAGTCACCCACCATGATTCCACAGGGGCGGGGGGGGAACCGGGAACATGGTCTTGATCACAACCTCTGAACCCCTCCCCCCTCCCGGGGGGGGGACCATAGGCACTGGGCCATTATATACATATGGCCCCGTCTGCGATCCCGGTCCACCCCGCCCGGAAATACAGGAACCAATAACATGAGCCCATCCCCCATTCCTTCCCGCCCCCCCCCCCCCCCAACCAAGCAAAAAAAGGAACAAAAAGGCAAAAACAGTCGATCATCGGCTGCAGCTGATGATTGGTCCATGTGCGTTCTAAGGACAAGCCGCTTGAAAGTTCATTGCGCCTTGCCTCCAACTGCCCGGCGAACTTGCATACTTCCAAGAACCAAGCACGCGGGGGCCATGGAGCGGTCAGACTCTGGCAAAAGCAGCTTGAACGGAAACAGGTTTGGGTTCCTGGGGCCGCTCACTCTTGGGCCACCTTGGCAACTGTTCAGCTTCCCCACCCCCCCAAAAGAACACACATACACCACACACACACACACACATCTGCGCGCCTGGGATCTCGTAGGCGTACATGGGCTTCTTGCAAAGCCTGGATGTCGCGCGCTGGTGAATGGGAAGGCCTGAACGGCTGCAGGTTGTTGTTTTTCTAGGAGACAGGTTGGTATTTGTCTGTCCAGGAAACAGCCCTTGGGCTCTTTTAAAGAGGAATCTGTGCAAAAAGCACCCCAAATGCCCTTTGGTCAGTTCGGTGTTCAGTCCTTTTTGGGTTAGCCGGTGCAATCTACTAACGACCTCAGAGCGGCTCCGGTGTTATCTTTAAATCACAGTCTCGGGGCCCCGTCTTTCTTTGCCAGCGCGAGGCAAAACCGCGGGGGCTTGTTTTTGCTGGGGTTCACACCTGGGACCGAAAAACAAGGCCCTCTAGGAAGCCTTGTGGCCGGCCGCGCTCAGGCATCAACCAAAAGAATACCAGGCCCCGAGTTCTGTAGCTCTGTCAATTCGAGTGGTGCAGATTCCAAAAAAGCATGGTGTCGGATGGGAGCCCGCGGGGTGCTTTTTTTGGAATTTTCCAGTCACTGCACTTGCTTGGTGGAGGGGGGGGGAGTTCTTCAAGACATACCGGTACCAGCCGGCGGGGCCGCTTGTCTGGCGCCGATCCCCGCGAACCCGAGCGGCGAAGCGCCTGTGCCCGCCCGGCAGGAAGGACACCCCGAAGCCCAGGGACATGTCTCGGACTTCCGCCAGCCTCCGACGCTGGCAACGGTGGCGAGGGGAACCTCCCAAAATTTAAAGTAGGTGTCCTTTTGGCGTCCAACCAAACCACCCCCAAAAAGGGGCGTGCGGCTGCCTGGATCGCCAGTTGCTGCTCTTTTTTTCCCCAGAAGCTGTGACTGCTTTGGGGTAAAGTGTCCGGCAAAAAGCAGCAACTTGGCAATCCAGGTACCCTCAAAAACAACAAAAAGACTGGCCGGTGAGGTGTCCGATATGGGTTTGTCTCAAAATAGGGAACCACCCCAAAATGGCTTCGGTTTTCCTGTCGGTGTCCCTTACCAACCCTAAAAGTGGTGCCACCAAAAAAAGACACCCCCATAATATGGGTGTTTCTCAAAATTGGGGACTCCAGGTAGGTGGTTTCCCTCGTGGCGTCCTGAAGCCAAACCCTCCAAAAAGGGCGGTCCCCTATACTTGAGCCACGTCCATCTCCTGAGGGACAGTTGCTCGACATAGGCCCTGAGCAACCCCAGGCAAAACCGCTGGATGGAGACAGCTGCGACCGATCCCGTGGCGCTTAAGCCGCCGGCAGGGTACACCACACCCAGGGCAAGGTGTTCGACCACACACCCGCTGTTTTAGGGCTGCATACTCAACACTTTTTTGGGGGAAATGGTTTGGGGGAATGGACACCCTCGCAGACCTCAGATGTGTGACTGCGGTGTACTTCGGCCTGAGACCAAACCTCACTCGCCATGAGTTGATTCTGATGGACTTCCCACATTCCTAAGACCTTCACTGATTCACTCTCGTGGGGGCTGTATTTCTTGAGGGTACGGCACGACGTCACAACAGGGCTTTTTGGGTGGCTCGTCTTTGTTTGGTTGGTACCCCCAGTCTTTTCGGTGGGTCTTTAAGGAAGCCATTGTCAAATATATTCTGGTTTTTGCTGGGGGGTCTAACCTTACAAAAGCCACACCCATATACTGATTTATGGAGACCCCCCCAAACGCAAATATGCGCTTTTCCTGTTGGTTCCCTTTTAAACCCACAGAAAAGGGGGTGTTTTCCGGTGCAGCCTCAAGGGCTTGCACCAAACCTAAGCTCCCCGGCGGGAAGTGCTGGTCGTCAACTGCATCCACCTGCAGCTGCAAAAAAAAGCAAAAGCTGGGTTCTCCAAATCAACCTCCCAGGATGTTTGTGGCATCCCGAATGGGGAAACCCCGTTTAAGACAACCGGAAAAGGGGTCCCGGGGATCCAAACGTAGCCTTGCCCAAAGGACCTGGAAACGAATTGTGATCACCGTTTGGGGCCGCTAAAAATGGACCAAGGGAAGGCCAAAAGATTCAAAGGTCGGTTCGCTTTGGGCAAGTGAGCCAATGGTGGACCTCCTCAGATTTTGTGTGATGTCCTTTAGGTGTCCTGGAAAAAGCAGAAGAAAAAGAAGAAGAAGAACAAAAAAACGCTGATTGTTCCTTTCCAAGACCTAATTCAATGAGCAGTTCCCGAGATCCCATCTGACCGCCAACCCCGGACGCTCTGCCTCGTCACATGGTGGCGTTAACATATGCTTTTAATCCAGCGACTACCCGACTACCCAACCAAACCCTTCCGACGCGAGGGTTCGTGCTTCTTTTTGTCCCTCATCCAAAGCACACGACCCAAGCCAACCGGCCAAACCTGGAAGGCGTAGAAGTAGCCCGTATTCAGCAGGTGGCTGCCGCTGAAGAGCGGCATTGTGCCGTTGCCGAAGACCACTCCGCCTCCCAAAGCCGGAGGAAAACCCGCCAAAGCGTCGCTAGGAAATGGTCTTCCAAAGCCACCCGGTCAAGTGCTGGGATGGGGCAAATTCTTGAGTGACAAGCGGTAAAACCAGGAAACTTGTTACAAGTGTTTCTTGTCCATGGATTGTGTGAAGGATAGCAGGAAAGTGCTCGGGGCCTCAGAAGAACTAGTATCTATGGAACCTGTTCTCGAGGCCTTCTCGGGGAAGAAGACAAAAGCCAAGAAGCGGAAAGGTGGGTTTTTTGGCGGAGTTGGGAAGGGTAAATGTTCCTTCCAATGGATTCTGGCTTCACCCTCATTCGAAAGCTAGCTTTGGATGCCTCTCTACCAAGTTTCCAACAAGCAGGAGTGGACAATGGGGCTCTTCAAGGATGGTGCTTAAAACAACTTGCTGACCCCCCATCAACCATCCCTTGTGGATTCCTTCAAAAGAATCTCCTTCCGGTTCATTCCCAACACCCGGAAGGTCATTCCCTACCTATCGCACCAGCAAGACTAGCTTGCGCAATTCGACCATCCGCCACCCCCGCACTCAACCCCCCCACTCAGCCCCACTCAACCCCCGCACTGTCCCCCCCCCCCCCCCGGCACCCAGCCCACCCCCGGCCTCCCGCCATGTCAGGTATCCGCCTCTCTGCCTGAAGGTCCTTCCTCAGGATATGGATGTTCCAACTCCTGCAGCTGACGTTGGGGGGGGGGGTTGTTGGGGAGGGGAGCGAGGCGACAAAACACAGAACGGCGCGTGGTGGGAGGCGGGGTCTTTTTCTTTCCTCCCATGCACCAGTGGTTTCGGTGTTTTGTGAAAAATCTCGAAACCAAAACCGCTTGAAAGCTACTTTGAACCCATGCGAATGCGGAACAGGCCGCCCGAAGAAAAGGAACAAAGGACCCTCAAGCCCAGTAGCAGCTAATGGCTTCCACAAAAGCCTCACCCATTTAGTATAGGCTCTTTCTCAAGTTTTCAAAGAGATCATCCCGGCAGGCGAGCACCAGCTAGTTTCAGCACGGGAGGGGGGCCACAGCTCACGTTGAGCTTTCCCGCTTCACGCCGGCAGGATCAACTCTGGGACCTACCGACCTACCCATAGCATCTGAAAGTCTCCTCTGGCAACACTCCCGAATCACCTGACCGCCAGCATTGGCATTTGGTCTTTGGAGGGTACTCGTTTTGGGCTTGTTTTGCAGGGAAGACAAAAGGAAACCACCATTCTTGGGGGTCCCCGTATTTTGAGATACACCATTTACACTACCTTCGACATCGCCGACTTCAGCCAACGTCTGCACAAAATCTGGGACCTGTCCTCGTCTTGTAGAACCAACCGGTCCTGAGCCAGTGGCACTTGTCTCGCGAACAGCATGACCTTCACCCGGAGTGGGGGGGTGCCCCAGTTCCATGTTTATTTCCCAATCTTCCTCGGAGAGAAATGGGCTGCCATAAACCCAGGCAGAAATTTGCCGTCCCTCCAGCCCCGGACGCAACAAACAAAAGGCTTGCCCAAAAGACACGTCCAACACCTGCTTCACAAACAAATCGGATCCAAATCAGCTCGGTTTCTCTGCGGGGTGCAACACATCGACCAACATGTACCATCTGAAATGCAGCTTGACGAGAATCCGCAGGGCCACAGCCCGTGGGCCTGAAAACATATGCGCCGCCAACCCCCCCCCCCCAACCGTGCCAGGGCGCAGGGGCACGTTGCTGACATCGTCCACCACCAGATCCCCCTCCCAAGTCGTGTACCTGGAGGCATCAAGGGGCCCTTTTTGCCGCCGGAGATTTTCACCTCCGCTTTACCTGGAAAAAACATGGCTGTGGGTCAAAACCAATGGCAGCATTTTGGGGTGCACCACCCATTTTTCTCTATTTTAGTGGGGATTGGGATGTTCACTGGGGTGACTTGCTTTTGACCCATGGCCACATAGCAGATTCAAAGCTGCAGACATGCACAAGATGAACTGAAGGCGTGGCACATGAGTAGCATGAGCATCAGCTCGGGTCAGGGAACGGGTTTCTGACCACTGTGTCATATAGGATTCCTTCAGAGTCTCCGACTCACACAAGTTGCACTCAGTTGGCAGGGGACTGCTGCTAAATGCACTGAAGCCAGACCCGGCAACCAGTCTTTCCCGCAGTGGCAGCCACAACCTTCCAGGGCCATGGCCTGGCACCACCTTCCGGTGACATGTTCCCTTGACCCAAAAGCCTCGGCTCATAGGTGTCCTTTTGGCTTATTTTCATGGGTGTCCCCGGATGGAGCCATAAGACCAATCCAAAACAGTGGAATCCCCATCCATTTCCACCCAAACTCACCGAACAGAACGACACCTGTGCTCACAACTCTGCGCTTCCAAATGGAAGCCTAGCTCGGGAAGCCTCGCAGTTCGGGTGTGTCGCGCGCACGTGGGCTTCTGCTTGCACAGCGGCACCGACCTAAGGCGAAAGCTGACTCTTAAGGACGTCCACTGACCCCCGGACCAAACCCCAAAGAAGATATCTGCCAGTTAAGCCAGATTTGGAGCTCATTTACCCCTAATTTACCCGTATGGTTTGGCGTATTGTTCCATTCCCCACAAGAAATGGGGAAAGATGCGGATTTAGTTCACATGCAGTAGAAGGATCAGTGCTGTTGACCGACACATCTGCAATGCCAGAAGCGGCTGGCTGGCTTCTTGACTTGCGTTCCGTCACTCCCTTGCTGCTGAGAACTATCAAACTCACTGCTGACTTCTGCAACAGTTTAGTGCATTCGATCTCATCAGTCCCTGGACCAATATTCCATCAGTCCCTTGTCAGAGCTGTCAGCATATGTTGTGTTGAACCTTCAGTTGCTTGCATTGCCCCTGGTGAGAATGAATCCATTTTCCATGAACACAATAACTCCCAAACAAGCTTGTACTTACGCTTGCTGAGCAAACCCATGGCTACTTCACGTGTTTCCTGGAAATCCACTTGATTTCCCCCCAAAGTTCCGGGCTTAGAGTTTGTTCCCCTTCTCCTTTCCCCAGATTAACACGGAAGCCAAGAAACCATCATTCTTACAGGAATCTCCTTTTGAATCCCCTTGTCACCTACGACTCATCCGAACATGATTGTGAAATCCCAAAGGATTGTTCGATTGAGTTGTCAGTCCTACCCGCCCTAGCCTCAAATCACGGCTCAAAGAAGGTTGATCGTAGTTGATGAGCGTCAGCCACATAAGAGAAGCCCATGTTCGTTCTTCTCTGCTCCCAGCAACTGGGCACTTTCCATTGCATAATGGAGGTCAATCGACAATAATGAACGATAGAGAACCACATACCCATTTTTCTTCGGGGGGGGGGGGAGAGTGTCCCCATTTTTAATTTTTTTTGGACACGCCCTGCCAGCACCTGCTGGGGGCCCCAGGCGGGAGCTGTGGGGCAGACCTTGGGAATGGGACTGACTCCGAGAAAACCATCCCCTATGGCTTCCTGTAAGGGAATCCTTGGGTTCATTCCCACCCGGAAGGTCATTCCCTATCGCAGCAAGTTTGGTTCCCTTGAAACAAACCGGTACATGCAGACACAGACACTGACACTGACACACAAACACACAGACACACAGAGACACACAGAGACACACAGAGACACACACACACACACACACACACACACACACACACACACACACGCTTGAGAGGGTTCCACCCACTGGCAAAATCGCACTCAACTCGAATGCAATGGGCGAAAAGTCAAACCACATCACACCAGCAACACAAAACACGACACAGAACACCATGCCAGTTAACTCACGCTAACTATAAACACTAAGTCGTAAATCTTGAACTGCAAACACTTGACTCGAATTGACGGTGCTTTCGCTGTTTGCGCTCTTACAATCTCACTCGCTGGAATGATATCCCGGTCGCCTGTCCAACTGAGGAATGCGGTGCCGAAAAAAGCCGACGTGTCTGCCCTTAGGCTTCCCTTGCTCCAAGACCCTCCTAAGTGAAGCCAAAGGTCGGCCTGGTGCTCGCAGTCTGAGGCTTGCACTTGGAGCCCTGGCGAACGAAAAAGGGCAGAGGCACAGAAGTCTTTCTCCCCTGGGCCAATCATTTCTATGCCCTTTGCTCTCCTTTGCTTTGGACGGATGCAAACGACGAGGACATCGAGACCTCGGGAATTGGAATTGCTTTCGAGCCGAGAAGGGCAATATGTCAAAGAGTCCCGATTTGAGGCAGCTGATGTGCCAACACAACATAAGCAATGAGCGAATTCGAAGGCACAACGTGGTTGGGCTTACATCCTGGTCGGCCTCTGGCCGCGGCCGGTGAGCTCCGCGCCAGGAGCTAAAGCTTTGCGGAAAAACCCGCCGGGCTTCGATCCCAAAGGCGAAAGGCGGAGTCTTCCCAAAACGGCCAGCCTCTGTCCAGAAATGGACGTGGGCAGGTTCCACAGGAGGAAACTAGCCTTCCAACACCCTCCTGTCAGCTTCTGATTGGAGGGAGGGTCAAGATATGCACACCATCTGTTGGCTACCCCCCGCAACCGGCTCCAGCACCCAACAAAAACTCCCCGCGCCTTCATGGGACTTGGCAGCCGGAGCTCGTCCTGAGCAAGTGGCAGGCTTGCAGGGCCACGTGGGAAGCCCAGTTTCCGAGCTTCCCCCCCCCCGTCAAAATGGGTTCAGCCAAAGAGCCTTTCAGCCGCCCCTTTGGCCTTGGGTTGGAGGCGAAGCAAGCCATGAGCATAGCGACATTGATGTCAAAAGAAGCAATCAGAGACATCGCAAGATATGCTTCTATTCTTCGCAAGAACCAGAGCTTGGCATGCAAACTCCAGAAACTCCAGGGGTTTGGCACCCCGCCAAACAGCCCGAAGAAGCGCTCGAATCTGATCGGATTCCGTGGCCTTGTAGACAGTGCTCGGTCGCGAGGGCGTGGGGGTGGAAATATCCGGGGGCGGCTGCCTGGAGGAACACAAGGAGTTTGTGAGTCAGTCCAAATGTGTCATGTCTATCCTGGGCAAGAGCATTGGAAAAAGCATGGACAAAAGCATGGGCAAAACCATTGGCAAGAGCACGAGCAAAAGCATGGGGTTGGCAAAAGCATGGGCAAGAGCATAGGCAAAACCATTCACAACAGCATGGGCAAGAGCATGGGAAAATCATGGACAAAAGCATGGGAAAAATCATGGACAAAAGCATGGGCAAATGCAAGAGTAGAAGCATGTGCAAAAGCATGAGAGCACACATGGCATACGTGGGCAAACGTGGGCAAACGTGGACAAACGTGGGCAAACGTAGACAAACGTGGGCAAACGTGGACAAACGTGGGCAAACGTGGGCAAACGTGGGCAAACGTGGACAAACGTGGGCAAACGTGGGCAAACATGGGCAAACGTGGCACAAACGTGGGCAAACACGTGGGCAAAAACGTGGGCAAAAACGGGGGCAAAAACGTGGGCAAAAACGTGGGCACAACGTGGGCACAAACGTGGGCACAAACGCGGGGACAAACGCGGGCACAAACGCGGGCACAAACGCGGGCGCAAACGTGGGCGCAAACGTGGGGGCAAACGTGGGGGCAAACGTGGGGGCAAACGTGGGGGCAAACGTGGGGGCAAACGCGGGGGCAAACGCCCGGGCAAACGTGGGGAGCAAACGTGGGGGGCAAACGTGGGGGCAAACGTGGGGGCAAACGTGGGCGCAAACGTGGGGGCAAACGTGGGGGCAAACGTGGGGGCAAACGTGGGGGCAAACGTGGGGGCAAACGTGGGGGCAAACGTGGGGGCAAACGTGGGGGCAAACGTGGGGGCAAACGTTGGGCAAACGTTGGGCAAACATGGGCAAACGTGGACAAACGTGGACAAACGTGGACAAACGTGGACAAACGTGGGCAAACATGGGCAAAAGCGGGCAAACGTGGGCAAACGTGGGCAAACGTGGGCAAACGTGGGCAAACGTGGGCAAACGTGGGCAAACGTGGGCAAACGTGGGCAAACGTGGGCAAACGTGGGCAAACATGGCATACCAAATAGCCCTGGCTTTTGTGACCTGGGAATGCGAGTCACCGTAAAAGCAAAAGCCACGCGGTTGATCCACGCAAGAGGTGGTCTAGAAACTGGGGACCTCCAAAGGAATTCTGGCAGTGGTGAGGTTGGTTTAATAGTTGGCCCAAAGCCATCCGGAAGAATTGCCAGGCAAGGACAAGCAGCAAGATTTCACAAGAGGGGACTCTTAAATGGTGAGGGGCCATTTTGTTCGAACATTGCACTCTTGGGAATACCATGGCAGCCCTGCCCAGAAGCTTTTAAGTGGAAGCCGCATCCCTTATGGTAGGCGTTCAGCCACAGTCGTGCGCGGGAACTCAAGCCAGCCGCCGTAAAACTGCATAGAATTCACACATGTGGTCCTTGGCGTATTCAGTATTCACATGTGTTTGGCTGGATGAGATCTCATCTTTGACTCATTGCGGTCACCACTGGTTGCATCAAGGTGTTCATGCAATTGTTGCAACAAAAGCAAGCAGAATCCAGCCATTTTATGCATAAGGCTGGGCATCACAGTGCAGTGACATTGAAAGACTTCAATGATAAACACATCCAAGGCTGCACGAATTTTGAATCGAGGCAGTACTCCCCGGACATATACTTTCGAAGGCCCCCAAACCATATACGGATTCAAAAAGTGGGATCCAAACACAAACAGACTTGTTGGGGTTGGCGAGTTCTCTTTTCACCACTCATTCAATTTCATCAAAAAGTGCAGGTCCATAGTCTTTTTCACCCTTAAAAGGGTCCAAATTCCAAAAAGGACACGCCCTAAGCCTCTCTCTTGGAGCCATCCCCAGCCTCCGCACCATGCCCACGCTCCAGCGCCGCTGCGAGAGTGAGAGCTCTTCACTGGCGAGGAGGGGACACCAATCGATTCCGCGGGGGGGAAGGAGGGCTGCTTCTTTGGGCCCCTTTTGCGGCAGGTGTTTTTTGAAATCAAAGGCAACCCGCCCGGGGGAAGGGGGGGCGGGCGAACATCTTGGCATGCTGCATCCAAATGGACACCAGACTGGTCCTTGAGACAAACCGAGGTCGCACGAGATGTTCCATGGCTGCTTGGGCGGTCGGAAGGGAAGCCGCATGATTCTGGCAGTGGGGGTTGCAACTGTCTTTAAGCAAGCATCGCAGCAAGTCTTCGGGTCGTCCATGCAGCAAGATATACTCCAGCTTGTAGGTATAGACATCTTCTGCCGCACTGCTTTAGTGCAGTTGACAACTTGGAACGAGGTACAGCGGGCCATTTCAGTCCGGGTTCTGGACGAGCGGGTTTGCTTGGCTCAAGGATCCGGCCAACAAGATGGCTTCGCGGTTTGGGTGACACCAAAAATCATCCACAAGGCCAGGTGCTTATCGCCTGAGTTGGTGTATGGGTGCCATGTTTTTGCCTTTTGGCGGATCAGCGAGATGCCATCATCCAAACAAAACCCCGCCATGATGGCAAACACCGCCAAAACTGTGAATGTAGTGCCTCTCAAAAGAACCAAAGTACAAAGGAGCTTCTGCCCCCGCTCGAGGCATCTTCGACAGGGAAGGTCCATTGCTCCTTCTCCAAAGCTTCGTCCACCAAAGGGACTGAGTTTCGTGCGCCGGGGGTGTCAGGGTTTGGGTTTTCAGCTGGCTGAACCGCCGCCTGACAGGCCCGCCACAGATCTCTGGAAGTCCTGTAAAAAAAGAAGAAACAACTAATGTCTCGCGCACAGTTGATGCGCTTGTCTAAGAGGTTGCAGAACAAGACTGGATCAGTTCCAGAGAAGAGCGTGTAGACAGAGTGTGGCCGTTGTTTGACACACTTGCGCGGTGCTGCTATTCGTTCAACTTCACCTAAATCTTCGAACGAACTTAGGTTTTGTCAGTTTGGCCATACACTATCAATAATTAGCCAACTGACTTTGCGGCTCTGCCTACGTTTCAGAGCTGCTGCAACACTGTGATACTCTTCGCGGGTTACTTCCGATAAGTACAACATGCGCTCAAAGACGGATTGCCTGACTTTTCGCAAAGGACCCATGTGCCTGCCTTGGTAGCCAGCGTTGACAGCAAGCATCGTCAAAACAAATCGGAGTAGCCCCAAAGATTGCTGGTTTCCCTTTAGTTTTACCTTGAAACCCCCAACAAGGGTACCCACTCAAAAAATGGTCATTTCCCTCACCCGCACCGCCCCTCCTCACGGAACCCGGATATGGATTCGCGATCGATCCGCCTCTGCGCGGCCTTCTTGGCGTGCGAAGGGCTCGCGGCGACAATCTTGGTCTGCACCGTCATCTCCTCGTCCTGAAGGGGGCATCTCGTCTGGGTGGTGCGATGTTGGGAATGAACCTAGGGATTCTTTTGAGGGAAACCACAAGGGATGGTTTATAGGGGTCATTCCCTCATTCCCTGCTGCGAACCCAGAAAATCAACCCAAAGCCACAAAGCACCCATTGCACAGGTCGGTTCGCTGACATGAGATTCAACTCATTTCGAGTCCCAGTTGCAATCTGGCAATGCAAATACCCTTGCCCAAACTAACATGGAAGCTCCCAGGACCCCTTTGGAAAACTTGGTTCCATTTACAAAGGCCAATTGGGGGAGCTTCTGTTAGTCTGAGGAAGTGTACCCATCCTGAACAAGCTGCCCCACCTAAACAGCCATCGTGCACCCGATGTTTTCAAGGAATCTCGCAACTCGGGCCACTTGACACGAGCAGGCCCCCAAATTTTGGCTTTACTAATCGGTCCTAAAGCCAGGTGTTCTACCATTTGCCTTGCCTGGAGGATTCTACACGAATAGCTCACCGGGTTTGCTCAGGGGAGCCAATAAGTCATATACCTAGGTATATAATAAGAAGAATAAGACATGTTGTTAATAATTATAACAATACATGTCTTGTTTTTTAAAATGAGGACAATAATACTTCGATCTGAATGGGCGTTTCACCCCCAGCCAAGCTCGCTAGAAGTAATACAAAGGATGACAGCGAGAATCCAAAGAAATAATAACGCCCGCGGCCAGTTGCAAAAAACAACGCATCACTTTGAGCGCGCACATGTGATCAGGTTGGGGCATTTGCGCGAAGCCGGTACACGTCCAAAGCCTCTAGGCAGCACATGTTTGGGCTTTGGGCCCGACGGGGCCTTCCGTGCTCCGTCTTTGGACATCAAGCCGCTAGCAAGAAAGCGAGCTCATCTAAAATGGAACTGGGGAGCCACTGGTGTTCCATGAACTCAAGGACTATGTCACCACTGCACTAATGGAGTGGATTGGCGGAACCTCCAAATGTCTGTGGAGGTTGCTTGCCGCAGGACCTCTCAAAGCTCCAAAGGCAACTCGAAACCTGCCCCAATGTTATTTTCCACTGCCCAAAACAGGTTTTGGGTGCGCCCTGGTCTGTATTCTCATCCGTCCATCCACATCCACCCACCCCCCCATCCATCCATCCATCCATCCATCCATCCATCCATCCATCCATCCATCCATCCATCCATCCATCCATCCATCCATCCATCCATCCATCCATCCATCCATCCATCCATCCATCCATCCATCCATCCATCCATCCATCCATCCATCCATCCATCCATCCATCCATCCATCCATCCATCCATCCATCCATCCATGCACACATCTTCAAGGAAAAGCTCTGCCCAAATGTTATTTTCCAGCGCCCAAAACAGGTTTTGGGGGTGCCTGGTCTGTACTTTCGGCCCCTTGGCCTGCAAACCAACCCAGAACCTGCCCAAATGTTATTTTCAAGTGCCGAAAACAGGTTTTGGGGGTGCCCTGGTTTGCATCTTGTGGACCAACCCACAGGCCCAAATGTTATTTGGCCTTGGACGAAATAGCTTTTGGGCAACTCCCAACAACGGCATACCAACATGCAGGCGCGAGGGGCATATATGGAATAAACAACAGTCCAAAAGCTATTTCTACAGCATTGAAAACATGTTCACACCATTCAGAGTGCTAAATCAGCATCCTTTATCATCATTGTGGCCAGCCCTTTCGCCAAACCTTCCGGCGCCCACTCGCGACCTTTCGCGCGCGCAGCGCCAGAACACATGAATATGCTCCTTACTAAACTTTTACACATAGGTTTTTGACCGTCGCCCACATGGAACCCAGAGATCCCTTAAGGAAAATGGTCTTCCAGGAACCCCGGTGGAGGTTCTACTATGGACGAAATCCATTTCGCACCACCTATGATACAACAACCGATGGCTTCCTATGGTTACAAAGTGTCGCGAAATGGATTTCGTCCACCCACAGTATGTTTGTTTTGTGCAAAAACCGAGGCGACCGCCCACTCGGCTCCTCGCTGCCACTGAGGGCCTCCACTGCGCGCTCAGGCTGCAGCAGGTACCTGTCGAGTCACAGCGACCGGCTCGCTCAACACCCGGGTGTGCATTTTCTTGAGGGTATCCCTTTTCTGGTGGTTGTAGCAAAACCAAAAGGACAACCACCCTTTGGGGGGTCCCTGAAAAAAGACACACCCACCCATGGACGTTGGGTTACACCCCGTTTGGTTGCAACTGATGATCTTTATATCAGGTACCAAGCAAACGGCCAAGTAAACGAAAGATGTGAAACCCCGAAGAAACGCCTTCCCAATAGCAAAAGTTCAAAAGCAACCCAAACCGCCGAACCCATCAAGGACAGGACAACTTCAAGACGGCTTACCAATGAAGCCCCTGCCCTCCCCTCACTTCCGCTCGAGTGGATTGGCCAAAAGCCCAAACTTCTTATGTACCAAACTGCTTCAAGCCCAAAGTGTATCAAGTCCGCAACGGACCTCAGGACGTGAGCCCCCGTTTCGGGTTTTCGGGGCTTTTCCCACCCAACTCTGGTGACCCCCCCCCCTACGCCACCCGAGGGCCACCGGAAGCGACGCGAGTCGCGGCGGCGACGCGAGTCGCGGCGCGATTCCGAAGCCGCGCCTCTGCGCCTTGCGCAGGCGCCGCAGCCGCAGGGCGGTCTCCTCCGCCGTCTCGGGGTCCGAGGCCTCGGTGGCTGCGAAGTGGAAATCCATGGTCCATGGCCCCCGCTTCGGATTCCACGTTGATTTGGGTGCGTCCTTGTGTTCTTGGGGGACCCCCAAAATGAAACATGGTGGTCCTGGGGATTTCCGACTCTTCTTTGGAAATGGGGAAATGTTCTGGGTGGCTACCGCCAGTGATGCGTGAACCCAATTTTAATATTAAGATAGACCACCAACCGGTGCGAAGCAGACTTCGTCCATCCACGGTGGGGAACTCCCAAATGGTGGTGGATCCCGTGGGTTATCCCTGTGCGGTCAAGTAAAACAACCCCGAAAGCGCGCCCCAAAAATGACGAGCTACCCAGGTGGGGGACTCGAAGAAAATGGTGGTCAAACAACCCCGTACCCTCAAAAAGCACTCGCCCATGTGTGGTAGACAAATGCTCAGTGGATCCACATAAGATGTCCTAATCATTAAGGTATGTATGTTGAGCTGCCAAGAGAGGATTGAAGCTGCCAGCTAGGCGTTTGCGGTGGGTCACCCGATGGTTGGTTGGCTGCAAAATCCCTTGCTCTGCCAGCTGTGCATTGAGCAAATGTCTAAAGCTGGCCCTCGTCACACGATTCGACTTGTCATGCAGTAACTCGGCGGGCAAGAATGGTTTTGTCCTAGCCAAGTAACAACAACAACCGACCAAAAAGTTCATGCCGGCCAAAGCTAAGAGACGGCAGCTATCGGAAGTTCTACCCCCCATCAGGGCTGGCAGCCCGGGCCATTGAACTTGGTTTGAAGGGAAACAGAACAAACAAAAACGTATTTTGTTGGCGGGGTAACTACGACATCCATATTACAGATATATACATATATTACATGTATGTATACATATAATATATATATATATATATTTATTTATTTAAACAAACAAAAATGCTGCGGGATATCCCGATATTCCAGATCTTCCCTGGACCAACGTTTCGCCATTTTCCGAGCCCCACGCCAGCATCTCCATGCGCAGGGCCACCTGATCGATTCGGAGATGGAGATCTGAGTTTGGAGGGAATCGATTCAACCCGAAGGGTTGGTGGGTCCATTGGCACATCTGCAAAGGTTGCCCTGTTAAAAATACCAAAAAAAATCTAAAGGAGGAAGTTCGCGAAGTCTGCAAAGTAGTCCAATGCTCCAAAAATAGAATAAAGAATGGGGGACGGTCGCAACCGGAAGGTGGAAGCTTCCCAACCTTTCTTATGGATCTGCAAAGTGTTCTTCTTAACCAAAACCAAAGAAGAATCGGACCTTCAAGGGGATGGCTTTCGCAGGTTCTAGCCATGGAATCGCCAGCAGATGCCTGAAAGGAAAGAAAAAAAGGGCCCGCGGTCAAAACCGCGGAGGTGGAAGTGGGACATGTTCGACCGCTTCTTTTACTTCCAAGTCTTGATGGAAGGGGAAGGTTGATGTGGAGCCTTCCAATGCTTTCGAGGGGAGTTGGCCTGCACAGCCAGCAAACAAACAAGTTGGCGGCCTCGCGTTTGTACCCTGCATTGGCCAAGACTGGATCCTTCAGCCCACATGAGTATGTCTGTTTGTTGGGGGCACCCTGCTTGGGGTAAAGCAACCAAAGGGAAACCCCTCATTTTGGGGTTCCCCGATTGAATTTGGGCAATACTCCAGACCGCCATTGTCATTGTCCGCCATCAGCATCGCCGATTCAAAATCCAATAAACGGAGTGTCGATCTGGGCACATTACTTGCTTTACGCCCCAAGTGAGCTAGGGATTGTTCCGCGTCAATTGACCACCCCTGCGGTGGATGCCCTAATATTGCAAGTCGGGAACAAGAGGAACCATGGATTGTGGTTGGTTTACTTCCATTTGCTTCAGCCCCCTGAAAAAAAAAACAAAAAAAAACAAAAACAAAAAACATCCAGTAGTGATAGATTCCCTTTGAAACCAACAGGGGAAAACAAAAATCTTAAACAAATGGAAGTTTCCTTGCAGCATGGCGAACGGGGCATCCAGGCTGTTTCCGCCGGCCTCCAGCAGCTGCTTCTTGGTCTTCAGCACGTCTTCGCGCAGATCTGACGCAAAAATTCGCGAAAGCGGCTGGCCCGGAGACTCGCCTTCCGGCTTTTGAGAAGCGAAGTATGGCTCAAGTCCTCAGGGCACCCTGGTAACCGAACAGAATCCAGGACAGCCGAAATTTCTATGGGGAGCGTCCTGAAAAAAAAACACACCCATTTGGATACGGAAGGGGCCGCCATGGGGTTTGGTCTGGCTCAAATAAAACCAGGATATGGACGACATGAATGTTCAAGTCCTTGTTTCCATTTACCAGGGCATTTTGGGGTTACCCTGCTTTTGACCGACAGCCAAACTTTCACAATTCGCAGTTGTGTCCCAACATGGGAGTTCTTCTGCTCGCAAATCGAACTGCCGGAGCTGGCGGTGCCGATAGGAAAACCGCCATGTTTTCGTGAGCAACTTGAACAAGGAAGCACTCCGTAAAATGGCTGGAACTCCCGCCCGGCATCCCGAAGAGACTTCCTTGCTGCATCCAAAGCCTCTGAAGGCCCAAGCTGCTGAACCAGGTCATAGTATCGAGCAGAGCAGACTCTTCATGTGAACTTTGCCACGTAAAAAGCTATTCTCCAGCGGCATGCTGCGGCCGTCTTTTGGATCTGAAGCATTCCCGAGTCAAAGGCCAAAACCCTCCGCGGAGCCAACAAAGGTGTGCCAGCTCAAAAAGACGAGCCACCCACCCACACGGGACCCGTGGCGCCGCCCCCACGGTCCGCGCTTTGCTCCAGCGGAGGCTCTGGCTTCTCTTCGACCTGAGCCAGACCCAAGTGGCCAGCTCCGTGGCCGGGACCAAGACATCAAGTGATTCATTCTCAAAACCCGGTGTTAAAATGGTCGTAATCCCAGAACCCTGCTTCAAGAATTAAGAAGGCGGAGGTCCGCAGCTAGTTATGGCAAGGGGATTGTCCCTAACCTTCATCTACCCGTTTTTGATTGTGGCTCAAATGCCAGAGGGGTTGCTTGTAACCTGTTGGGCATGAGTCGCTTTGGCAGGCGGCGCATAATGGTGCCAAGCTTGCTAAGCATGTCATGAGTTCTGCCAAAGGTGTCCAAAAGGTCTCAGGTTACAGTAACACTTTAGCACCACCAAAAAAGGGTACCAATTCAAGACAGACCTGCACCATGGACCTGGACGTTCGTGCCCTTTCCAACACCATCTCAAACAGAGTTCTGACACATCCCCACACTGAAGCAGTTCGCCTATCAAGCGAGTGGCGCAAGCTTTGGCACCGTTGCCGCCAAAGAAGGTCCAAACCTTTTTATTTGCACGAAAATGGTCTTTGCCTTAAAAAGTATAAAATTAAAAGTCCGAACGGAACTTGGGGAGTGAGTTGTTGGGGACACAGAAGCATCCAACCAGCTCAACCTCAGCCCGGGCTTCACGTGAATCGCCCCCTAGGCCCAGACCGGCTTCGGCGGGCGCAGGCGCAGGTAAGAGACAAACCTGGGTCGAGGGAGCTGAGGTGGTGCTTGGTGCTTGGTGCCCGCCCACGCGGGGCGGGCTAAGCCAATGGCATCCCAAAACTGGGGCCCCTGGACACCTTGGATGTACACGGAAACGTGGTGTCCTGAAATTGGGCCCTCAAAAAAAAACGCTCAACCAAAGTGGGGCTTCCTACAAGCCACGGGTCTGAATTGAGTCTCCTGGCCAACCACTCACGCGTTGCAATGGCAATGTGGAGTTCACGAGGCTACCCTCCCTCCTAGTTCTTCCGTCGAAGGGAAAGGTCGGGGAAACGAGCTGTGTTCCCCAAAGGGGCCTACATGGCCTGCATGTTCATCCGGAGGGTGATATGGAACCTTACGTCAATCTTGCGTATGCCTATGGCGAGCGTTTGAGTCAAACCAGGTGTCCAATTGGCCAGTCTCGCGGGTGGCAAGTCATGGGCCAGGCATGAGCCTGGACAGCCAAGTATCAACTCAGTCCCATGGTTCAGTTCTCTTCAAGCCCCACCCATGCGGCCAGGTGGTTTTTCTGGTGGTGCAACCAGAAGCTTGGTGGATCCCTTGGACTCCTGCGGGCTCTCCTCCAGGTCTGCATCCATAGCTTTGGCATCCAGCCGGTCGACCTGTCCAGCTCCCTCGACCGCGCGGGTTTGACACGTGAAAGGCCCACCTGACCGTTGACCATGGGACGCAGGGCAAAAGTGCCGCTGAAAAACAAGACGCTGTTGCAACCAGCGACCAGAAGCACAGCATCGCCAAACTTGTCTTTGCTGACCTTCAAAGTTTACTGCGCGAGGTCCTTTGAACAATCCGAAGGTACCTTTGCAAGGCTTTTGGCTTGGCGAATTTTCAGGTCACCCCTCTGCACCCAAAGCTGGGGGTGGATGTTATGGTCAGAACCGGTGCCCTTGGCACCAGAGGAACCCATTTGGTGACATGGAAACCAAGTTTACGTAGAGCAACTTTGCTACACAAGGCCATGCGTTGCTAAGTTTTAGAAAGAAACTGATCTTAGGTGAATGTTTCACGTGCTCGTTGCAAATGGTGATTTGAGAACGATATGACCTCGGCATGCAACTTACTTTCAGGGAACTCTTAGTTGGTGGTTTGGGTTGACGGTTTGGGGATGTGAAGCTCAGTTCCTTTTGAAACCAAATGGGAAAGGTACCCCCTAATGTCTAAACCACCAAACCAACCCACCAACTAGAGGGAAGCTGACACACGTGCGGCTTTATGCACGCCCTGGTGCTGGGTCTTGCGCACCGGGCACAAAGCAGGCAAACCCAAGGGGGGTGTTAGACTGTCCTAGGCGAGAGAGGGTAAAGTGCTGCTAAAGTGCGGGTGCGGCTTTGTTGAGGGGAACCCCTCCCAAAAAAAAGAAGAAGAGGATATTTTCCTGATGGTTTCCCCTTGAAAAAAACAAAAAAGTTATTTCCCTGTTGGTTTCCCCGTGAAACAACAAAAAAAAAAGCTAGTCCCTGAAAAAGGCACGCCGCATGTTAACCTCTCTCCTGCGGCGCCTCGAGCACGCGGTCCTACGGCAACTTGGCTAAGAAGCCCATGGTGAAAACTCCCTCGGGCCACCAGGAAAATAGGTTGAAATGAGTGGGGCGGTCCTGGCCATCCCTACCAATGTAAACGAGTGTTTGAACAAGGCACATGGCTCTCCAGGCTTTTGACCAAAAAAGCGCTGTTAAAAGGCTGCAACAAAAATACTGGCGTGTGGAGCATCTGAAAAAAAAAAAAAAACTCGACTATGCCAGTCAGTAAATAGGGAAGAAACCAAAGGCCGTCGCACACCCTAGGAAGCTTGCTTGCTTTGCTTGCCTTGCTTGCTTTGCTTGCTTTGCTTGCTTTGGTTGCTTTGCTTGCCTTGCTTGCTTTGCTTGCTTTGCTTGCTTTGCTTGCCTTGCTTGCTTTGCTTGCTTTACTTGCTCCGGGTTTGCTGGCTGGCTTGCTTGCTTGTCTTGCTTGGTTGCTTGGCTTGGCTTTGCGTTGCTGGGCAGCCATCCAGCCGGCCGGCCGGCTTGCTGGCTTGCTGGCTTGCTTGCTTGCCTGCTTGATTGCCAATACATTGCTTTGTTTGAGCAGTCTAGAGATTGATGTGTATTTTCTTGAAGCATATCTAGAGTAGAGGTTACCAGTGTGCGTGTGTGTGCGTGTGTGGTGATTGCTTTACAAGAAGCTTTGTTGATTCAGTGCGCAGCACCGTTCGTGACATCAGCTGGTCGTATGACTTGCAAAATCAATGCATGCACCTCAAGAGCGCGCTCGCCAGTCTTCAACTGCATCCTCTGGAATTCTGGGATATGTGTGTGTGTGCGTGTGTTTTTAGAGGACCCCAAACAACGACGGTTCCTTTTGGTTTTCCTTTAAAACCACCAAAAAAGGGAGTGCCCTCAAAACAAAGACGAGCCGCCCTTTTTAAGACCACCTAACTTGATGCGAGAACCGCCGGGATGTCCATCGAGTTCAGCCCCCCAGTCCTCCTGAGGGAAGTCCTGGGGAAAATCCGGCGCAAACCAAACGGACACCATGGGCGGGGGATGGGGGGCATGGGGGGAGGAGAATCATCCAAAAAAGAGCGAGACTTCCAATTGGTTGGCTTCATGCCAGCCACATGTGACCAGAAGCACATGAAGGGAGCGGCCATGTGTTGCAAGCTATGCTTGGCTTCATGCTAGTGTGCAAAGTGGCCGATAATCTGATTTTGACCCCATCTCCTTTACCCCAACCAAAGGAACAGCCCCTGAAAAACTGCAAGGGCTGCGGACGCCCATGCGATTTTTGTCCGCAGGAGGTGAGGTTGATTGAAAAGCAGGCCGAGATATCCATATGTGTCTGGTCTGCGATCGCGCTGCCAAACAAAAGCACAAGTAGCATGTCTTCTGTTTTTGTAGCTGTTCTTCAAGCAAAGAAGATGAGTGGGACAAAGAATATCTCGGCTCTGGCTAGGCAGCATCAATGACAAAAGTGGATCATTCGATCAAAGGCTCGCTAAACGCAGCCAAAATTGTTTGTGCTCAAATTGGCTGGAATAGGAACTCTCCAGCTGGAAAAGTTGGATATCCGCGAGTTTAGATGTATCGCGCACATTCAAGGCTGGGGCCACTATCTAAACAGCCCCCCACCCTTCAAAGGGGCCCATTCTGATTGTGAAAACCAGTTGGGCCTCAGGAGGAGCGGTTGGCATGCCACGGTTTCGGCAAAGGACAGAACAGTCGCTTTGGCTGTAGCTTGAACGCTATGTTCAGGAAACACGTGGAAAGAACAGCCTTCCTACCTGTAGGGCTTCGGAAAAACATGTTGAAACCAACTCCGCAAATGAGGCAGTAGTAAGCAACAAGTAACAAGTTGCCTTGGAACCTGGCAAGCGACCATGCAAGGCTGAGTCCGGAGTTTCTCGTTGCGTGTCCATATGAACCGCCTCTACTCCGTTCGAACGCCCGCCCATAGTTCCTCCCCGGGGAATTCCATGCGACGAAATATTCGCACCGAAAAGTAAAGGACCCCCTCCTGAATTCATTGCGTTGCGGCTTTACATGGAAAGCCAAAATGAAGACCACAATGTTGGAGGCCCCAGAAAAAAAAAAAAAAACACACACACACACACAAATGGGACCACCCCCACCCCCCCCAGCCCTGCCTTTGGGGAACAAAGGCCCCTCAGGCCCTGGCCGAGACATTACGGGGGCTCGAAGCAAGGCACACCGGCTGCGAAGAAACACGCGGAGTGAATCAGCGAAAAATTCTGGCTGTCTGGTTCAATTGGTCAAACACCCTTCCAAGGTCGGGGCAAGGTTGAGGCAAATCAGACCGCTCGGTGGTTGTGATCTTGGGGTCCAAAAAAAGATGGGCCAAAAAATCGAAACAAAAAGATTGGCCATGGTCTCAGGGTCAAAAAAATAAAACATATTGGCCGAAAATCGAACCCAAAAATAACACGGGGGTCCAAGAAGAGGTCGGGTCCCGCTTCGTCTGCCTCGCAGCCCCGCCTCGAGGCGCTCCTGCATGCTGAGACTTCCGCGCCGCGTGCTGCGGCTGCTGGGCTTCCCCGCCTCAAGTGACCCCGGGTCACGTGGGACGGTTTCGTAGGATTTAGGGTTTAGGGTTTAGGGTTTACCCTGTGCGTTTTTGTTGTTTAATTATTTTTTTAATACCAACCAAAAGGGATCTGTCATTTTAAGAAGCCCTCCTATGAGAATGGTGCTTTGGGGACCCTTGGGACATCAGAAAATACCTAAGGCTCGCTCAAATTGTCCGGTCTCTAGCTAATTTGGAGATGTCCCACCAAAACCAGGGAACTCAAATCTTTGTATGTTCTGAGCACGAGCCACATATGTTGATGGTGTCTGCGTCACATGAGGATTGAGGTCCTCCAATAATGTTAAAGAGTTCCAACCACTGAATGTCATAGCAAAGCTGGTGCTATGGGTGGTCTATGGGCCATCCACCTGTCTCGGAATCCGAAGAAGTTGCCTTGCGCAACCAAGACATAAGTCGAACGACTGGTAAGTAGGTACTGTTCTTGCCCTTGCAACTAAACCCTGGGAACAAATCTTCCAACTAACTCCTTGCCTGTTTTTTCCTGATCGACCTCCACCCGCGTTTTCTTCCCTTTGAACTGGTTGGACGTACAGAATCGCAAGAGCCCACCCGTTGCTCCCGGAGGCGGGTTTCCAGGTCCCGCACCGAGGGAGTCCGTATCTCCAGGAAGGCGGCGAAGGGGTCGTGCAGCCCTGGGCGGGGAGCTGGTGGACACTCCACAAGCTAACCGCAAGGCCCAGCGAAAACTGAGATGTGTATCGTACATACGCAAATATATATATATATATATATATATACATATATGCTACCCCCCCCCCCCCACCCCCCCAAAAAAACAAAAAGGAGTTGGCTGCACTTTGCCCCCTCTCTCCCAAAAAGATTTGAAACAAATAGCATGGCCCTCCTCAACATTAAAAACCACCAAACCACAAAAAAAATCGCATGTGTGCTTCTTCTGTCCAGCCGCGATGATGCGCAACAATTCCCAAACGTTGCACAAAAAGTTGGCCAACATTTGGCAGTCAAATGGAACAAATAAAAACCAAAAAACAATCCTGCCCCACCATGGTTGAAAACTTATGTTGGTTTTTGGTCCAGTTGACATACATTTCCCAATTTTGCGCAGCACTATGGTCAACACTTGGCAAACCAACAAAAACCAAAAAACACAAAACCAAACACCCACAAATCAATTACTCCGCTTCGAGCAATCCCCACCCGCCACACAGCTTACGAGCGTAAACACAGTTGTGTGAATTCAAGCATGGTTTTCGAGTGGCTTGGGGCCTATGACTGCTCAACATTGAGAGCCTTATCCACCTGTCTGTGTGTCAAACTCCACTTGGGCTGCGAGCCGATCTCGAGGACTCAAACATCGGTTCCGTTAACAAATGCCAAGCCCCTTCCAAAAACAAACCTGACGGGGGATTAAACGAAGCTGCTTGTTCACAACCCAAAGCAACACAAAAGCATCACCCTTCCGAGCCTCAGGGCACACTCAAAACACGAAGGCACACTGGCGAGCCGCTCTGGCAGGATACTCGGCGGGTCCACTGGCCAGCTGCTCTGGCAGGATGCTGGCGAGCCGCTCTGGCGGGATACTTGGCGGGATCCACTGGCGAACCGCTGTGGCGGGATACTCGACGGGATCCACTCGCGAGCAGATCTGGCGGAATACTGGGCGGGATCCACCGGCGAGCCACTGACAATCTGCTCTAACAAGATGCGAGCAGCTCTGGCGGGATACTGGGCGGGATCCACTGGCGAACAGCTCTGACAAGATACTTGGCGAGATCCGGCGGGATACTTGGCGGGATCCACTGGCGAGCTGCTCTGGTGGGGGCGTGGTGTAGAACATCGCAAACGCGGATTCCAACATAAAATCTAACAACCCCTTCCTGTCGTCGGGTGGGGAAAAACAAGCATCCTACCCCCATCATAGCTAAAAAGCTTTGGTTGTTTGGCTTTGCTTTGTTGGTCCAGTGGAAATGTTGCGCAACATATCTCAAACGTTGCGCAACATGTTGGGTAGACGGGGGGTTGGCCCGGACTTGAGTGTTGGTGATGGGGGTAGTTCTGTTCGGACATCTTTGACTTCTGAAGCACTGCAAGACACAGCAACACATTGACTGGCCAGAAACGCGAGTATGTGGTGTATGGCATGCGTCGTGCAGTGATAGCCTGGGCGCAGCTTGCACAAAGCCAGAAAGAAGTGTTTCCATCAGGCATTCTGGAAGTTGCGTGCAGCAGCTCGGCGCCCGCGCAGCGCAGTATGCGAAGATAAGTTTGTAGCTTAAAGCTCCGCTCTCAATCAGACCGCCCCAGCAGCGGCTTTATGAGTGCGCTGCTGAAAAAGTAGCTAGGCGCAGGCAGCCCTTCTCAGAAGGTCGGACCCATCATGCGCACGTCCAGAGGCTTTCTGCAGCGCTTGTGCTCGAGAATACGCTGCGACTACAAGGATTTTGCCCAGCACAACGTAGCCCGCGCAGACCGCTCTTGGCTTCTCGCGGATCTACAGCCCGAGACCACAAAAGCGCGTGTGAGAACCGCCACGCCTGCCAACGTGGCGTGTCCGAGTTCCTTAACACGAGTACGCGGAAGACACCAGTTGGCCACGAACCCCAAAAACACCGCGCTTGCACACCCCGGACTTCGCGTCCTCTGCACCCCCCAGTCAACCCAACATGTTGCGAAACAAGCTGACCCATGACCTAGCTTGTGCATCCCAGTTGAATTGAGGCGGTGGAAAAGTTGCAGAACAGCTGCGCGCCAAATGTTTCTGAACAAACTCTTGGGTAAAGGAGGTCTGCTCGGAGACTGCCCGAAACCGCACGCGCGCTTCGAAAAAGTGAAACTTCCGGCTGCAATCCTCACACGGCGAAGCAAGAAAGGGCGAACAGAGGGATGACAGAATACAGGTGTCTGAGCGGAGTTGCGTGCTTTCTTATACGCACCCTTTCCCTGTTGAGACTTCCGACCGCCAGCTCGCCAGGGCTCTCCTGGTTAGAGCTGGAGCTGCCAATCCCGTACTAGAAGTGGATAAGATTCAAGACTCAAGACGCTGGAGAAAGATGTCTGTGGAATTGTTCCCCAAAGTGGCAGAAAAGCCACGCTTCTCAAGATTCAAGAGTCAGGATTCTAAAGAAAAAAACCGCGGAGTATGGCTTTTGTCTTTTCAGGCGGGCCGGTGGGTAGAACATAGCATGTAGATATATACATATATACATATATATATATATATTCTTCTCACGGCCCCATGACCCTTCTGGACCATTAACAAACAATTAAAAAAACTGGTGCAAAAAAACACCCGTTTTTCTGGTTCTCGACAAAAAAAGAAACAACACAGCCAACCATTGAAATACCAACACAAACTGCTTTGTAGGGTTTCAGCAAACAATGAAGAACTTGCATGTTCTTTCTAGAAAGCCAGGCAAGCCTCAAGAGAAACAAGGGTACAAAAAATGTCTTCAGGGAGGTCCTTAACTGGGAATGTCAAGAATTCAATTCCCATGGTTTTTACGGTGTTCCTTGAGTGTTCAGCTTTTGTTGAAAGCATTGCGAATCGCCAGCCTTATCGCACAGCCAAGCTTGCACGAGCCAACTTGTGCAAGCCAACTCGCAAGGAAAGTTATCGCACCGTCAAAACTTGAACGACACGACCAAACTTGCACGAGCCAACTTGCGCGAGCCAACTTGCAGGAGAATTTCTCGCGCCTCTTGGACCAGCCAACTTGCACGAGAAATCGCACGACCAAACTTGCACGAGCCAGCTTGCACGAGAAAGATCGCGCAGCCAAACTTGCACGAGCCAACTTGCACGAGAAAGATCGCACGGCCAAACTTGCACGAGCCACCTTTCACGAGAAAGGTCGCACAGCCAAACTTGCACGAGCCAACTTGCACGAGAAAGCTCGTGCAGCCGAACTTGCACGAGAAAGCTCGCACGAGACATGTGGACAGGAAAGTAAAGTTACCCGCAAAAATATACGTGTCGCCCACAAGGTCTTATTATGCTGTACGATCGTGCTGGCAGGTTTGGGATTCTTAGGGTTTAGGTTTAGGGTTTTTAGGGTTTAGGTTTAGGGTTTTAAGGGTTTAGGTTTAATTTAGGTTTAAGGTTTTTAGGGTTTAGGTCTAAGGTTTTTAGGGTTTTGGTTTATGGTTTTTAAGGCTCAGGTTTAGGGTTTCTAGGGTTTAGGTGCGCTTTGAGCTGGCTGTCCGGTGCATCCGAGGCTGGCATTTCTGGCTTAGGTTTAGGGTGATGCTAGCAGTTTATAACCAGGAAAGGTCGCCGCGGGTATGCAGCATGGAGTTGGGCAGGGCCCGGGGAGCTCGGAAGTGCGTTTTTGCTGCGCCTGCCACGTTTTTTGAGGTCTCGGGGACCCGCTTCCGGGTGGTCGCGGGCAACACGTACGTTTTGGCCGTAAAGTTAAGTAGTCTCGTAAGGCAGCGCGGTGGGACCGGACCCGCTCTGTCGAAAATGACACCCTCTACATGGATTGGCATGGTCAAGGTGCAAAAACTGTACCGTACTATTTCGAAACGCGGGGATTGGCGCGATCGATGTGCGAAAACTGCGGGCGTTTTACGATTTCAGCGGTTCGCGCGCGACCCGCGCCGGGGATTGGCGCAGTCGAAAAACTGAGAGCTTGCGAGGTCCGGACTTGGCCCCTTGCGCTGACAGAGACTGTCTTGCACTTGGAAGCTTGAAGACCTTGGTGTAGCGCGGCTTAATCCAAGCCTGCACAACGACCCGCTTCTTCTTGCGCACCACATCGTCATGGGTCGTACGCTCGGGCTCCGTCCGTATGCAAGATCACTTGTCGAACCTGACAGGCGCTTGCGCGAGATGGCTGCTTGAGCACGCCAGCCTTTTTCACTCGCTCTACAGCATGCGTTTTCAAGGCAAGCTGCATCAATGGCCAACTGCAAGCCCGTGTTCTGTCCATTGCAAGCCGTCCTTTTTAGTTCTTATATCTATCACACGCGCCGGCGTCCTCCGCCACATCCATGTTGTCAGCGGCGCCTTCCTCGTCCTGCGCTGATCTGGACACCAGGCTGGACTCTGTCTCTCCAACACTTGAAGGAAGGGGCAAATGAGTCCTCTTCTCTCGCACGATCTGCTCCCAGAACTGCCTGTCCGCGGCCTCGACGATGGCGCGGGCCCTCCAGGCGAACTGGGCCAACTACGGGCAAATGAGCGCCGCCGGCTCTCAGGTCGGGTTCGAGCACCTCGTGCGGATAACGAACTCACGGACACCAGCGGCGAAGCTGTCGAGCGCAACGAGGAGGAGCATTTTGTTGAGAAACCTCACCGCCATCATTTGTTTGGACGACCCCGCGCATCAATCTCATGCGCCGGGCCTTGTCCTCCGTCAAGGACACGACCGCCACCAACCACGCCAACGCGGCCATCCTGGAGACTGAGTCCTCGTCCGTGCCGTTCCCCCAAATGAACGTAGAGAAGATCGACGCGTGGGTCGCCCTCGAGCTGGCGCTGAGATTCGGCCCAGATTTCGTCCGGCATGAGGTTGGCCAAAAGGTCCGAAAGGCGCATCTGAAGAATGGCTTGCTGGCCGACCCCCCCGCCCGGGACAGCGCCAGCCAATGGCATGCACACAATCAGAGCCGCCAAGAAGAACAGCATCTTCGTCTGACCCATGGTCCCACTTAAAGTGGATCAATGACTTGTTTCACAGCTTCTGAACAATGCGTGTTTGCTTTGAGCAGATGAGATCCTTCTTTGCAGCCAGAAAGGTGGGTCATGCAGAGAGTCGTGAGTATATATATACACACATATATAAGACAGCACCAGTGGCTGGATAGTTTTTTTTGCCCCCAGGCCCACATAAAGGTTGTACATGTTGTAGCCAAATTCATCTGGCAGGTTAATAGGCGGTGCTTCCCGAGTGATCACTTTTCAAGCTGGGACATTGGCCGAAATCTCCAGGGGCTTTCTCTCGAGCATCCTGGTTTGGGTGTGAGAAACTACCGGCAGATTCAAGGTTGTAGAGTTGTATAAACCCTTACGGTCGTGCAAAACACGGGCCTGTAGTACAAGGTCTTGGGCTAAATGACTGGTTTTGGGGCTCACACTAGTGTGTGTTTTTGTGTTGCTACCCCTCTTTTGGATAGATGTTTCATGGAATGCCAAGAGGAAACCCATTTTGGTGGTACGACTCTGCCAGACTCCTAGCTCCGACCCAAGGGACACCAAGGCTCAAAGCCCAAATCCAATCCAAGCCACTGTGTATCTGTGTGTGTGTGTGTTGATTCCATGCTGGACTTGATGAAGGTCAAGCTTTGGGTCAATGAATCGGTTGACTTAAATCGCCCCTGTATGGTCGCATAAGTCAGTTCAATGGCATCTGGGACTCTCCCAACAGATTGGTACATTTGGGTGGCTCGTGTTTTTTGAGTTGGTACCCCTTTCATGTGGGTTTCACAAAAAATAACCAAAAGAAACACACCATTTTGGTGGTCCCCTAAAAATGACAGACCCCCCCCCCGGCTCGGCCGGGCCCTCGCACCCATGGCTGTCATGGTCACAAGCCCCGCCAGAAAGGCAGGGCCTTTTCGCCCCGTTTGGGGCCCGTTTCTGAAGCCGAGAAGTCGAATTCTCCAAGTCGGGGAAACCGGCGCCTTCGGAGCGATCCAAACCGGTCCGCCGCAAAAAAGGTTCTTGTAGCTTGGGTGATTGATTCACCAAGTTAGTTGTTGGGAACCGTTCGGTCATACTCCATGAGTCCCCCGAAGTGAGGCTCACCTTGTCGTAAGGGCTTGAACGTCACAGGCTAAACCTCCACACCAATCTTTACATCACTTGCATTTCAGCATGAAGCTCGGCAATGCCTAGCTGGGTACCGCACCAAGCAGTGCGGTCTGGACAAACTACTTGGATGTTCGGCAGAGTTTGTAAGTAGTTAGCCGCTTGGGGTATACCCATCCAGCATGTAACACAAGTGCGCACATGTGCGAGCGAATAGTTGTATAAATATGCATATGTACCATCTGCATAAAATGTGCACACTCACAGACAGACAGACACACACACAAGCACAAGCAAAGAAACAAACAGCAAACAAACAAACAAACAAACAAACAAACAAACAAGCAAACAAACAAACAAACAAACAAACAAACAAACAAACAAAACAAGCAAAACAAGCAAAACAAACAAACAAACAAACAAACAAACAAACAAACAAACAAACAAACAAACAAACAAACAAACAAAAAACAAGCAAGCAAAACAAACAAACAAAATAACAAACAAACACACAAAACAAACAAACAAACAAACAAACAAACAAACAAACAAACAAACAAACAAACAAACAAACAAACAAACACACAAACAAACAAACAAAAAACCAGCAAAACCAGCAAAAAAACAAAAAACAAACAAGCAAGCAAGCAAGCAAACAAACAAACAAACAAACAAGCAAAACAAACAAAAACAAACAAAAACAAACAAACAAACAAAACACAAACAAACAAACAAACAAGCAAAACAAACAAAAACAAACAAAAACAAACAAACAACACAAACAAACAAACAAACAAAAACACAAACAAACAAAAAGACAAACAAACAAACAAAAAGACAAACAAACAAACAAAAAGACAAACAAACAAACAAAAACAAACAAACAAAAAAAAACAAACAAACAAACAAACAAACAAACAAACAAACAAACAAAAACCATCAAGCAAAACAAAACAAACAAACAAAAAAACAAACAATGCACAGTCGTGCTGAAAATATGAGCGCCTACCATTCGCCATTGCTTGCATGCTTCATTTCCCCGCTCACCCAGCGCGGGGAGATCCGCCTCGCTCCCTGGAATCCCTCCAATGCAGAAGAAACACCCATGGAAGAATGCGGCTTTCCAGACCCCGGGTGCCTCGTGGTTTTTGTTGAGGCTTCCCTTTGTGTTGTGAACTAACCGGATTTCCCCACCACTTGGGGGGAGCCCACAAAAAGGCAAACATGCGCACATGTGTGGCCCACACTTCCCAATGCCCAGCTGACCCAAAGCCAGCTCCTCTCGCTCCCATTAAAGTGTGTCTCAAATGAGTCCCCCGTGGTTGGTATTTCAAGGAAACCAAAAGGAAACCACTATTTTGGGAAACCCCGATTTGCAGCACTCATGTGTTTTCTTCTTCGCATGATGGTGCTTTCGGTTTGGGAGAAAAAAGAGAACCGGCTCCTCGGGACGTGCCAATACCATCTTCAATCAAGCGAACATTTGAAAGGGAAATTGGCTGCAACTTACAAACTGAGCTAGGCAGTCAGTCCAGTGAGGAACCGGAAGCCGGCGAGACTCCCAACGAAGTCTCTGGCAAAAGCAATGTTGGCCCGCGGGCACTCGGGAAGCAGCAAAAGCACATGCGGACTAGACCACGCCTCATTCTCATGTCCTGTCCTTGGACACGTTCTGGTCGAAAAGGCAACTACGCTGACTCCAGCATGCAAATGTAAGGATTGATATGAGCAATCTGCTTCCCGGGAAGGCGTAAGTCAGGTCTCCATTTGCGCGTCCACCTCACCATGTTTTCGGCATGCTGAGAACAGGAGGGGTCCATGAGGAAAGCATTCGTCCACCGAGGCCATGACCAAACCCCCACCCACCCACCCACCCACCCACACGCCCACCCACAGACACAGCAACTCGGCTCGGTCAACCAAAACCTTCCTTGTCGCACAATCCTGGTCTGGAAACGGGGATGTGTTTTGCCCGCGCTCACATCGAAGCGCTGTTTGAAGACAGCAGGGCTCACAAATCAGAGATCGCTATGGTTTTTTCGTACGGCTATCTCTCGTCTTTCTTCAGGATTTGGCCTGCAAACATCTGGCCCACTGGCTTCCCTGGGAAAATCACCCGCAAAATGGTAGGCTTCCTTGTGGCTTCCCTTTAACACCGACCAAACGGTTGGCTGCCCTTTAAAAGATCCACCCGCAAAATGGGAGGCTTCCTTGTTGCCTTGTGGCTTCCCACTTAGAGACCACCCCCAAAACGGGTAACCGGGGCCGCGGCGTGGATCGATCAGTCCTGAGAAATGCGAGCAGGGCCGCGTGTGGATTCGGATTCCCCCGGTGGTTTGCGTCCGGCTTGGTGTCCCATGCTTCCCGTTACCAGAACGGTAAAACCCAAACCAATCCAAACCACCGAGTAAGGGTAACCTGACGGATTGTAGACACTTCTCCAAAGAAACATGCAGGCTATATGATGTACGCCTTCCCTGAGTAAGTGGCATGTAAGCTGCATTACTCAAATTCTATCCCTCGAAGGCCATTTGAGGTCCGGCATTTGGAGGAACAAGTGGAAGCACAAAAATGCGATTCACCACCAATCCAAAATCAGGGCACAAATGATGTCACAAGCCCTTGCAACATCCAAAACAAATCTGCAGCTCCCGTCGCCTCCTGGTGCCTGTTGGGGTCATGGATGAACTTCCAGTGCAGCTGCTTGGCCTGCGCAAATAGCTCGGGGCATAATTTGTTTAGCTCGCTCTTTGAACTGCTGCGCCCCACACATGCATCATTTGGTACAGGCTATGCTCTGTCAAACACGTCAGTCTGCACACGTACGCGTGAGCGCTCGCCGCTCGCGCTCATGAAGCGGTGTGTCATGCATGTGGACCTGGTAGTCGATTGCAGTGGAACCAATTTTAACATGTGTGCTGACGATTGACTGCACTTGCGTGTAAATATGCCACCTTCTCAGAGTCAAACTTCTGACGGCACTCGGCACCTGGGCAAAGAGGTTCATGCTGGAGTCTGAGTGGCTTTGCTCCTGCCCCCTGAACCGCCACCTCGAAAATGTAAAGAGCAAACAAATTGCCATTGAAATGATGACAAGAACCCATCTGTATACGGAATGGCTCGTAGGAACTCCTTCAGCGACAAACACAAACACACACACACACACACACACAGAGAGAGATACAGGAGCAAAACAAAAACCTATTTCTTACATATAATGGACGAGGTGTCACCTTTGAAAAGCAGCCGTGGCTTCGTAAGCTTCAGCAGTCCACACAGCGAAGCCCCTTGGCAACCAACCCTTTCCAACATGCAACCTTTGTTTCAAGGTCCTTTTGCTTTCTCTGAGAACCAGAAAAAAAGGCTGCCCGACCCCAGCACCCCAAGACTCGCCCGGCAAGCAACTTCAAGAAATGGGTACGTGTCGCAATAGCGGGGGCACAACAAAATAGTGGTCATGTTCCTTTGAATTTTGGAGGGTGTCTTCTTCCATTTGAATTCTGGCGTCCCTTTAAACCAACCCCAAGAGCGGACCCGTTTTCACCTCGCCAAAACAAGGGCCTTGTCAACTGCTTTGGACCCAAGCGACCGGGCCCCTCGACATTGAGGTCGGCTGTGACTGAGGCGGCAGCATTGGAACTTGGCGTCCACCTTGATACCCACCTCAGCTGCTCCAAGTCCCACCTCTCCCAAAAATATTCCACCCAGCCATAGGACCTGCAAACACCCCAGCGCCGAAACCAAACAATCCCGGCAAGTTTGCAAACCCCGGACAGAACTCCACCGCGGATTCGCCGGGCTCCGGGCGTTCTGGGTGCTGCCATCGCCCGACTTGGCGGCATCGCTGATCTCCATGGTCTCCGGCATGCTGAGGACCTCTGCCGGCGGCAAGGCCACTTCATGAGAACCATAATCAAAACCCGGTACAAAGGTGGTTGACCCGGAACCATGTAAACAACTAAGAAGGCGGCTGCAGCTATTTATGGTTGGGAGCGTCCCTTACCAACCTTCACTTACCCGGGTTTTGATTGTGACACATGCGTCCTCCCCAAACGAACACAACCAGTAGTCCTGTCAGTTGCTCACATGAAGCTCAACGCTGCAGGAGGAAACAAAGGCACGATTCATACTGTGGATGGACAAAATCCTGCGGTTTTGTAGGCGGTTTATCCCAGTGTTCAAATCGGGTGTCATCCATCCCAAATGGTGCTTCCATTGCAGCCCTCACATGAGCCCGGCCTTGGGGCAAAACCAACTTGACGCTGCCGTGGGCGAAGTGGCTGCGGGCATCAACTGATCTTGTAGGCGCCGGAATGCTTCGCAGCTTCGCAAAAATACTGGAATCCCTGCAGATAAGAATGGGATTTCGCCTCAACGTTTCGTCAGTCCTGTCCCTTTCAAAGCTTGCCTTTTAATAACTGTCAGCATGATTATACTAATAGCACAACGTCCAGCTCCAGCGGCTCACTGCTTTTGCCAGCCCACTGTCTATCCGCGGGCTTCTCACTAAGCAATGGTCCAAAGAGACCTCAGGCCGCACAGCCAACGACACCACCCAATGGGGTGGGGGGGGACATACTGTGGATGGACAAAATCCTGCACTAGTTGGTAGGTGGCTCATTTCACTACTTACAGGGCTTCATCTATCTCAAGCGGGGCAGGATTTCGTCCACCCACAGTAGCCAACATCGGCATGAGCTGGGACAAATGTTGCTCCCATAATCTGCATGGGGTTTCAGGACATTTCAAGACGCTGCCACCTTTCATTATCACAAGCGCTTGATACAGTTTCTTTCCCAAAGCTTGCAGAAACAACCGATTCGACCAAAAG